GAGGTATCTGGAGTGCAGTGCATATATATCTGCCACCTTACCGAGGGCAACGTACGTAACAGGAGAACTTTTACAAGAACAGTGGTAGTTTTATTTTATTTAGATGCCAGGGGAGACAATGCATAAATGTACGGTACCACAGTCCTTCAATGGTGTTAACAGCAAGGAACGCAAGATAGTCCTCCATGTAACTACGATAAATGCAGGTACGCAGCAAGGGGATGAATAGGAGAGGTTACTGTTCTGTTCCTGATGATCAAGAACTACGAGAGTATAAACGATGGTTATGGTATCGTACGGAGTACGGTGAGTTACTCTTGATGAAGTGATGTTCTGTACCCCGAATATATATCCAGGACCCGTAGGTAGTCACCCCGAGCATTCTGCACGGAGTTTTCTACGGAATAGTGAAGCATAATTATGCACTCGACTTGTACCCTGCAATACGAGACCCAGCCAGGGGCAACGTGGGAGTTATTGCAGGATCCAGGTTATTGACCGATCCCTATTGACGCCATCCTGGCCAGGAGCTAACGGGGGATGGTGGCCTAGCGACTATTGTTGACGAAGCAACAAAGGGGCGACAGCAAAATGATAGTTTCTACTATCCTAAACCATACTCCGTACAACATTTGACTACATTTTCAGCCAGGAATTGCCTGTACGGGAGGACTTGTAGATATTGAATGCTGGAACCCCTTAACGCCGGAATCGTGATGTGCATACATACATGACTCCATCGCGCCCCGGAGGCCAACCCGGCCCAATCCGCATGCGAGATGTGCTGATTCAATTTCCAAAAATAATGATCCATCGATTTCTTATTTCTCGCTGACAGACTGGTTGGTTGGTTGGTTGGCGAGCCTGTCGTTCATATCCGATGGTGTGACCAGAAGGTTTAAGATAGACCAAGGAGAACCACTAAATGGGCCTGCGATTGCGAGACATCAATTCAGGCTGGCCACTGTTCTACGTGTACGAGTATTTGTACTCTGTACTTGTACGGTAACTACGGAATATGAAGGATCGAATATTCCGAACCATAGCTTGAGCTAGTTTGAGTTGCATCTTTATCTCGTTCACCAGTCGGTGATGCAATGGTATGATGGCTTCTCTCGTCCAAGCTTTCCTGATGATACACTACCCCGTAGTAGTAGATCCCTTGACTTGATGTTTCATGGGCTTTTGCCGAATGTAAGATCAACATACCATAAAGTGGCAAACGCGATTTATTTGCATCAGACTCCGTATTCGGATATTGCTAGGGGTCAAGAACGACAAGAATGGAAACGCAAGGAACTCGTCTGTGATATTGCTTCAAACAGAACAGCAAGAACTTGACAGTTCCCATAATCTCAAATCCGGGGATGACTGACGTCCATGATAATCTAGCCCCGAGTCGAGATAGGCAACATAGCGTGCAATACGAAACCTATCGCGCTCAGACGCGAATTAATCACGACTACATACAAGTACGACCCGGTAAAAGAAATGTTTACTACCTGTAAAGCACTTGTACCTTGACGGTGACCGGGACGCGTCCAAGTCAGATCGCAACCAAAGAGAGTTAAATAGGATCGGTGCCATGGGTGACTTGATTTCATGTGCGTTTGACGGGAGAGAGGGTTTCATCAGTCTTAGCCAGCAATTGGTCTGCCTTTGCCAGGTCAACCCTCTAAACTAGAGGTGATTGATCAATGAGAGCGGAAAAAAAAAAAAAAAAGCAAAGGACGGATACACCGGTAACTGTTCGATAGATAGACAGAATAATCCCTGTTATGTTGTAGTAGGATCAGCCCCTAAAAGACCAAGACATGAATGACCGCCGAGGATTGGCTGCGGGAAAATACACGCGAGGCAAAAAGAAAAAGAGAGAAGTGCAACCATGGCCGACCATGATTTCTGGCGTCAAGGAAGCAATCATCGACTTTGACCAGGAGCGACCGTGCTGCTCTGGTTAATGGGAACGGCCGGGTACGGGACCAGTAAGCTACTAAGTTGGTACCCCGTACTCCGGAGGTGACGATAATAATAACAGACACAACAATAATAGTAGCAATATTAGGGGAAGGATATTTCGGGTAATGTCCTGGTTACTATGCTACTCCGGTATGAACCAGTTTTGGTCGTGCGACTATGTAATGAGTGGAATTGCTGCCTTCGTTCGCTGCTAGTCAGAAATAGACTATCATTGCCCTGTGTAGACCGCAATCACACTGAAATTGAATGTACTCCGTATGCCGGTGATGACAACACCGAGGTGTATTTTCCTGGGGTCGAAGAATCAGGGAGAAAGAAAAGAATAATGAGATATTAAAAATGACCGGAGATCAGCCCTCTCCACTAGGAAAAGGCGGCCGCCGGGCTGGAAGGAAAGCGAGGTAACAAAGGAGAGGGCAATCTAACTCCAATGCATCCAAGGAATTGACCGTCTTCTTTGCTAGTCGTTCATGGTATCTGGTGAATAGATGACCGCTTTACTTGGACTTGTATACTTGAAGCTGGCTTCATTCAGTAGTGTAGACGTACATAAAGTACAATACTCAGATACACACATACAGTAAGGGCTAGTAACTACCAATTGGTATCGGCTTACTGTTTTCTCGTCCAGTCACACTGGCCATACTCAACTGTCCAACTGTGCCTCTGTTCCTGCATGGCGTGGTTGGTGAGCAGGTCAGGAATTGAGTCTATTCTGTTTCACATCCTCCCTTTCCATGATTTTGCTAGAAGAACTCCGGATCAGACGGTGTGAAGCAGAAGTGGCGGATCCGGTCGATCAACTCGCTGTATCATACACACCTCCAACCTGGTACGTACATACAATACTTACCGTACGAACATACATACATACTCGTACATACATACAAACTACTAGTGACTGTAAGCTGCAGCGATCCTCTTTCTCTGTCGAGCCTCTTTAATTCTTCGTTTCTCTCTTCCCTTTTCCTCTTCCACACCCGCTTGGAGAGAGAGACAATTCCTTAGCTTTTCTCTCCTCCTTTTCTTCTTCTTTCTTCTTTCTCTTCTATTCTCTTTCCCACCTCTCTTTCTCCCTTTCCTCTTCCACCACCTCCCCGCTAATTCCCTTTTTCGGAGAGTTCTGAGACTGGCCCTACAGGCAAAAGTCGAGATTCTGGTCGATTGAATAGTCGACCTCTCTTCTGCCTTGCTGAACCAGTGCTCGAGTTGAGCATCTCGCTTCGACCTCGCCCTTCGACGTTTGTTAGCTCAAACGCCGAACCTCCCCCCTGAAGTCTTTACCGCCGCTGTCCTTATCCGATTCGTGACCTCGACGGTTCAGATTCCCCTGATTCAGCTTCTGCCGGCTAGAAGAGCGACAGAACAGGGTGGTTTCTTTTCTTTCGGACAATTCTCCAGATTTGAAAACCACCAGTGATCGTTTTCGGTGTACATGATTCGGTTGTGAGTCGGTGAAAGGTGAGGAATAATTTTTTTCTTCCGTCCCTTTTTGTGGTGTATATCAGAAGTGGTGTTTGAGTATATTTCGTCCGCTTTGTGCCTGTTCGATGGTCGAATTGGTCGTCAGGATGTTGCCTGTGTGGTCACAATGCTTCGTTCGTGTTGCGAATTCGAGTATTGTCCGCAATGGCTGGTCGAAGCATTTCCCCGGTTTCCGCCGTGCACTATCGAACCCCTCTCCTCAAGTCTCGGAGTCCCAAGTTGGAAGAGAGCTGCTGGAATTGCCGTTGCCCATAATGCCATGTGTTGGTAAAGAGGAAAGAAATGAAACGTGTCAATTGGAATGCATATGCCATCGATCTTGGACACCCGGCCAGGTGTACGGAGTACACAATGGGAAGGGAGCCCAGGTGATAATTCCTCTGGATAGCTTGAAAAGTACCATTTGGCCGTATAACTTGAATGGAGAGATGAAAGGGGTTCTGGGGTCGCTTGACGGGGAATGTATTGGACAGTGGAGCATGCCTCGAAGACCGTCATCACATACCTGAAATATACCAATCTCAGTCCACGGGCGTTTCTGGTTTCTCGATGTTGCAGCATCTCTGAAGAATCTTCTTGGCTAACATCGGGTTTTCTGTCTCTCAGGTCAACGAAGAATTTTTACACCCCTTTAATGTGGATTTTGCCCGTTGAACGCCTTTCCCTATCCCACGACGTCGCTTCAACGATAACCGTCACTGCATAAGAGAGAAGAAGTGAGAGTGAGAAAGACGCTGCTCCGCGAGCTGTACGTGGTGACCATTCTTTTTTCTTGCCCATTGCTCCTCCCCTGACGATTTCCCTCCCCCCTTCATAGGGTATCCTGTTCCACATTCTCGAGTACACAAAGGGGCGCAATTCTTCAAGCGCCAGTTCCTAGGGGTGAAGACGTTGACTCGTCCTTTGCCTCGTGGTCTGGTATCCAGTCTCCAGTTTGACAGGCCATTCCTTTGTTTCCATTCAGCCTAGATGCCAGACTCGCCGTCACGGTAAGGGTTGTACAAGTGCCCTCTGCCCGAAGGCCTTTATCTGGGTTAGTACTCGTCGTTTTCCTCTTCAAGGAGGGCCTCTCCCTTCCACCTTCAGTACACTTGTTTTATGCCTTCCTTCACACTCGTTTAAAGTCTTTTGTTATTGCACTTTACACTTTCTTCGCCTTTATCATCTTGATTCGTTCATTGCCGTGCAAATTTCTCTCCTTTTTATTACGCCTAATTCTCTAATCTTTAATCTATTTTAATACTCGGTTACTAATACGGTGGTCCCAGCTCTGGCGACAGGTTTTCAGGTCCGGTTAACTGGCCTTCTTTTCCGCCTTTTTATTCACAGTATCCAGACTATCGTCTCTACTGGTCATTCTTTAATACGCCCAACTAATTTCGTTCATTATTCTTACACCTAATCTTCGACGACTGTCATTCTCTTAATTCCGTCGTTACCTGATAGACACGGCTCTTTGTCAGGTTCCGCTCATTCTCTAATACCCTGCACACCTAATTATTATCCGACTTGAGTATCCTATTCTTTTCGACACTATGGCTTTTCATCGCCCTGCATCCAGCTACCAGCCTTGCGATAGCTTCTTCGTGGAGACATACGACGACTTCCGTGTACCCCGGATGGACCCCAAGGAACATGCCAGGCTCATTGCCCGTGAACGTCAATATGCCATTGCGGATGAACTATCCAAAATGACCAGTGATGAACTGCGTGAGGATATTGTGTCTCACATGTTGGATATGGAAGTGAGTCGTCCCTTGGGCCGTGTGTAACTCCTGAGTCAAGGAAAAAGGGGCTGACCGTTGGAATCGTACTTTTGACAGGCTACTACTCTTCCGGACGTGGAATCGATCGATATTCAAACCGAGATCCAATGGTTCATGCGCCCTTACCTTTTAGACTTCCTGATCGAAGCACACACTGCCTTCCAACTTCTTCCTACAACGCTGTTCCTCACCATCAACCTTCTGGACCGATACTGCTCCAAGCGTGTGGTGTACAAGAGACATTATCAGCTCGTTGGATGCGCAGCCCTCCTCATTGCCGCCAAGTATGGCGACAAGAAGGATCGTGTGCCTACCATCAAGGAGCTGAAGTCGATGTGCTGCTCGTTGTACGATGACGACATGTTCATCCAAATGGAATGGCACGTTCTGCAGACCTTGGGTTGGACCATTGGACACCCGACCGTGGACAGCTTTCTTCAAGTCGCCGTCATGGACTCGCCTTACGAGCCTGAGGTTGAGCACTTGGCTCTTTACATCCTGGAAATTGCCTTGTTTCACCGCGAGTTCGTCTCCAAGCCTCCGTCGGACCTTGCCCGTGCATCGTTGGCTCTCTCTCGCTGCATCCTTAACCGTCCTCAGCCTCGTCATACCGAGTGGGCTGCTCAATACGATTCGATGACCCTGGTTGGGCTCTCACAACAGCTTCACCAGCCGTCTCAGGTCTTGGCCCGGAAGTACTCGTCGGCCCACTACTCCAGGGTTTCGAAGCTCCTCGAACAGTTCCTGGCCCGCCAGGCTTCCATTTCCAGCTACACCCCGCCTTCTCCTCCGTCTGAAGTTCCCGCAGAATCGAAGCCGTACCATGGAGAGATTGGCCTGGCCACTCCGCAAAAGAACAACCATCTTTCGGACATGGCAGGCTACCTCACGCCGCCCATCACTCCCGAGAATGAGGCATTTGCCCATGCTGGCAACTCTCACTTCGTTAAGGGAGCTATGTGCGCATCGCCGACTCCCCCGCCTACCATGCAGTACGTGACTTCCCAACCTTATCATCAAGCGGAGGCCACGTATGTCCAACAATTCCAGCCGCAGCCTCAGATCGCTTTCCAGACGGGCTTTTAAACCCGGACGTGGCAATGCCGGAGCGGAAGTTGAGAATTCTAGCCCGATCAGCTGGACCGATGGAGATTCTCATCCTTGCGATGTCTGCGATTTGTGTCATATCCATTCGACCCGAGTCTTTTTATCTCCGGTCTGTCCTTGAAACATACACTTCTTTTTCCGTTCATCATGGTCTCCGGACTCGAGTGAGTTGAGTATGGGCCATCTCTTTTCGTTTATATGTTTTAAAACTGCATACCCATTTTATTCGCTGTTTCATTTTCATTTCGCAAACCATCATCTACTTGGGTGTTGTTTCCAAGAAGCATTTATTCTCATATCTAGCATTTGCAGCGCGAGCCGTTCGAGTTATAAATTGCATATTCTTTGTCATATTGTTTCTGCATTCTCCCCATTTTGTTTTTTTGCAAGCACCCTAGTTGGTGGTGGCGAGATCTTGTATTTGGCATGCGTTAATAGGGACCACTATCTTGTTGCCCTCGAAATATGTTTTTTTTTTTTTTTTTTTTTTTAAACTCCCCTTTCCTTTGTTTGATGCCCCTCTACCCTACCTCGTTATCCCCTCCCTTCCCCTTCCCCCTCGCCTTCACCTACCATACCAAAACGAACATGTTGATATGGTTCGCAACCGTCTTCTCGCAGGCCACCAAGGTCATCCGGGAACGGTTCCAAACTATAAAAAATAAATAAAAAAACACAGAAAGAAACAACGGATACGCCACCCAAAAAAACAAGGAAAACGGCTTAAAAATCTTTTCTTTTCCCTTTTCTTGCGGGATAGGTGGAGGTTTCAGATTGCTATACCCATGTGTTTTCATCGACCTCTTGTACGGATTAAAATTCGAGAGTTGCAGATAGCTATTGTGACTGTCTGGAGAAGTTAAGAATTTACTTTATGGACTTCTCATTTCTATTTCTGATTGTAGAGGCTTGAGAATGTTCATTCTTGTGTACATTGCGTACTCGGGCTGCAGATGCAATGCTAGATAAAAGCGAGACCAGCCAAAGGCGTTTGTTTCGTGTCTTTCCTTTGCAGTAATATAAGTCCCCGGAGCCTGCTTTGGCGTTGAAGTTCAAACGCTCAGACATGGCGCGTGGTCTCTGGACCAGATCTAGGGCCGGAAAGGTCAAGACGAATTATCTCATACTTGTCCGTCCTCGTAGTACCCTTCGTCTTTCTCGTTCGTCATGGCTGCTGATACGACCTACCCAACGTATCAAACTGCAAGAATGCAACTCTTAGAATACCAATGGATCGTGTGAAGACTGCCAACGCCAACGCCAACGCCAACGCCAACGCCAACAAATGATCGATCCCTTTTTGACTACGCCATCACTCCGGAATATGTACAGCAAGACATGGTTGAAAGCTATGATAGGTAGTGGCATGAGGATGCTATTATAGATCCAATTTGCTATGTCAAGTACGGTGCTCGGAGTGGATGAATACTATGTACCGCACAAAAAAAGATAGACCGAAACTGATAAGACGATGCAGGTTCTATCGGTCCAGGATTCAGTATTGCGAAGAAGAAATCGAGCAGTCGAAGGTCGGTCTTCGGGCGGATATGGTTAAGTTTTGGCAGGTCGAGCTCACTACTTTTATAAAGAGCAAGCCATCGAACATCCTTCTCCTTTAGAGTGGCCTCACTGACAGATAAACGAGCCCAGAACCCCCCCAACTGAACTTATGGGACAGGGAACTTTATATGGAGGAATAGTACAGACTTTGGGGAGGGGGATTAATAGGAGAGGTGATTATATACTAATAGGGTATCTAAATAATGGGTCCTCAGGTCCAGATGGGGAGACGAGTACAGGTTGCCCCGAGCCAATCCAAAGGACCACCCGGTTTGTGGTCAGTACAACCTGGGGCAACCGCGTTGATAACAGGGAATATGAATCCTATCAAGTCATGCCCCGTCCTCCTATCATTTCACTGATCACTACTTACTCTATGGCATAAAGTTTGATTGGACCAGACCTGTACTAATTCAATGAACCCAGGAACTATCCTATACCAACCCTCTTCCAGCCGATCCAAACAGATTGACGTACTCGAGGATACCGATCAACTTATCTCAGCATACCTAGAGACTGAGAATATAGATACTGCGCGCGACTGCCTATGTTCATGGCGCTCTTCACTATGCTACACCCATTTCTTAAGGGGTTCCTCTCGCAAAATGCACATCTAACGGGCTTTGCTCGGAGGAATCGACTTCGTAGATGAAACAAGCCGTCTACTTGATTTCTCGGTTCTTTCAATCAGCCAGTGGATTGATTTTCCGTAAGTGCACGACAAAGGATTTATGTTATGATCGAGCCTTGAATGTGGTCATGGTGGAATCCTTGTTGTGTTGTGGTCGTGGTGCCGGTGGTGCTAGGGTTTGAGATTCGAGCAGGGACTTACCGTAGGAAGAAAGTCTTGATATACACCACTATACCACTACACCGTAGGGATGTTGCAATATCTTATTATGGATATCAACAATGGGTGGATCTGTCATATCAGGTGCCTTAAACAAGTATGTGCTTGCCCACTCTACTCAACACTTTGACTAACAAGCAAAGTCAATTCTACTCCGCACGAGAATTATAACCAGGCAAATATCGATTCTAAGTATATGTATGTCATGAATCATTATTAACAGTACCACCGAGGGCAGGAACTTCGCTCTTAAATACAATCCGAATCGGGCTTACGCCCGTAAGAAAGACCAAACCAAAACGGATCATATCGATCAAAAAGAAAGATATAAAAAAGGAAAAAGAGAAGAAATGAAGAAATGAAGCTATATATCGAAGAATGAAATAAAAAGAATGTGATATCAAGTCATGTATGTTCATTCATTTCATGGTTCAGGGGTACGACCGCCACCGGCACAGAACTCGATGATTAGCCGTTCGAGATCTGTTAGTTTATACGGTTTGGTCATATACCCCTTCATCCCGACCTTGGATGCACGGCTGAGTGCTTCGTCCGTTACATCCGCGCTGACCGCTAAGACCGTCGGGGATGGCGGGAGTTGAACTCCTGATGTATTATTAGGCAGCGTCGAATTCAAATTCGAGGGAATATCCGAATTTCGTCGAGGATTAGGAGGAATTTGCCCGTGGTACCCATCTATTAATTGCAGAATCTTAGAAGTTGCCTCGTAGCCATCCATCTCTGGCATCCACAGATCCATCAGGATGATATCGACCGGCTTTAGGTTCTTCTGATGATTTTGTTTGTCCGGGATAGGAAATTCTCCCGGGCTCTCGGGGGTCATTGTCGGGCCGCCGGGTGGCATAAGGGTTGCACGGTGCGAGGTGAGAGTCTCTTGCATGACCCGTACGGCTTCGTTGCCGTTACAGGCTTCGTAGACTTCGCGGTAGCCGAGTTTCTTCAGCATGTGCACAAGGACGCGCCGATTGATTTGGTTGTCTTCGGCGACTAAGAATGTGAGGGGGTGTTTCTGTCCCAGAGCGCTGTCGTATGCGTCGCCATTGATCGAAGATTTGGGCTTGGGGGCTGGCGAATGCGATGATGATGGTTCCTCCGACAGAGCAGGAGACGGCTGTTGGATAGGTTGACTGGAAATACGATTGCAAGGGGATAGAAAAGAAGAGGAGCTGGTGCTTCCGCTACTCAGACGTGACGAATCAGTGAGTTGTGGCGGTGTCACGACTTTTTCCGGAGTCATCAATCCTTTGCAAGCTTCTTGGTTGACGGGTACTCTGATCTCGAACACAGACCCATGATCCGGGCCGGTAGTACAAGACCGGACACAGACGAGATCACCACCCATCTTTCTGGCGAGGCCTTTTGCCACGAGAAGTCCCAAGCCTAAGCCATCTTTACTGCGAGTGATGGAAGCGTCTTCCCGAGCAAAAGGCTTGAACAGTTTAGGCAGGAAAGCTTCCGGAATCCCAGGTCCGGTATCTTGAACAGTGATCCGTACATCGTTGGGTTTGCGGCCGATGGTTGCTGAAACGGTAATGGTACCGGTGTTGGTGAACTTGACGGCGTTCAGGAAGACACACGAAATCAGTTTGGCCAGGTCTCGATCGTCAACGAGCAGGGTGTCTGGCAACGCAGAATCAACCAACCAGTTGATGACTTTGGGAACAATTTCTCCATTGCAAGACCGGGAACGGATTTCGATCTTCTCTCCCAGTTCGGTAGCATGGCTCGAGGCAAACTCGGGTCGACCGCCGACATGGAGGGATTCATTGATGACCAGACGAAGCAAGTCGCGAAGCTTAGTATGTCTGATTGCGGGTCCCTTCAGATTGACATTAATGCCTTCCAGAAGGAGGTGCGGTGCCGATCGTCGAACAGCCAATGAAGGACGTGGGTCCACCATGTTGGCCATGACGGCTTCGATCTGGCGCGCCGGCGTTGCATGGACAATTTTATCGCTCTCGTGGACCGCATTCTTAACCTCTTCGCTTCGCGGAGACAATCCTTTCCGAGACGACATCCGAACGATCTTTTGCTTCGGCGGTTGCATCCCATGGTATTCTGGCGGGTTACTGCGCCGTCGTTTGTAGGGATTCACTGTGATATTATTCCCCTCGATGAAGATGTTGGGACGCCCGCCATCGTATGGGGCGACTGGTGACTGCGTTGGAGTACCGCCAAAGAACTCGTTGTCCCGTTCGACCTGTGGCGTTTGGGGCACCTGCATGTTGAGGTCGTACGCGTGGACCACGTTGTCTGCCGCTTCTACCGCCCGGCGAGCGCTGTCCTGGACCATCTCAATGCTTTCTTTCAAGGATTGAAAGACGGAACTTGTCCTCATCGAATGCTTGCCTTCGAGAGCCTCCCGCACGGTCGCGTGCATGACGTCCAGCATGCCCACTACACCCTGCATCGGAGTCCGCAGTTCGTGAGAGAGGCTTCTTGCGTATGGTTTGAGCGGTTGAGCGGAAAAGTCGGTCGATCCGTGGAGAAGGGTGGCATGCAAATCATCCATGGTCGGTTGCGCCGCAGCGATGGGTTTGGGCTCTTTCCGGGGCGCTTTTCCGCCGTGGGCCTCGCGAATCCGCTGAACCACCAGACCTTCCAAGGAGTTGAGAACCATCTCCAGGAACGGCCAGGAAAGACTGCGTTTCCGCAGGCCTGACTCGGACCACATCAGACCCAGATGGGCCAAGCATTTCCGGTCCGAAAAAAGCGGAACAGCCAAGTATCCCTCCGCGGTAAAAGGTAGTCTGTCTAAGCCAAAGGACACGAAAGATGGTAGGTTGTCGGGAATCAGACACGGTTTCTCGTGGTCCATGTGGGACAATGGATTGCCGCAAGCAAGATAACGGTCGTGGTGCATGCCAACAGTATGGTATCCATCGTTGTAGTAGAATGCGAAGCCGAACAGGCTGGGTCGTTTCCCACCAACGCCACTGGTGGGCTCACCTTCGACAACTCTCCGGGCCACGAAACCGTATTGCGCGCCGCAGATGGAGGTGACGGATTCCATGAGACGAGTCCAAAAGACTTCCGCGTCCAACGACCGTAATTCCTGTTTCAGGTTTGCCAGGCGTTCCGTTGCGGTGATCTGTGCTTGCTCGAAATAGCTTCTGTTCGGATGCTGGTCCAGGTTGGAGGAATCGGCACGGAAGGTAGAGGTCGGTTCAGACAAGCATTCTGATTTGCACGGGAGACACGACATGTTGCGACCGGATCGAAAGGAATTTGACCACTCCGGCTCAAGGGAGTCGGGCATGGTGTGTCTATGAAAAGGGCGAATTTGAGATGGGAAGAAAGGGAGAGGATCAAATCAAGGTATAGGCGGACGCCAAGTGACGACAGTGCTTTTGCGAGAGATTAGCGGTTCACAAAATGGACCTCTGGACAAAACACAGAGCATGGCTTCCTTTTCGAGACAGGCTGGAGAGAAGGTCACGGCGAGACCATTAGCGATCGGAGGATCAACGCAGACGGAGGTGAAAGCCGGCCATTATCCGTATATTTGGGTCGATTGGTCGAGGACATACAGCAGATCCAAGGTTAGGATCGAGGGATTTGGTGGCTCTGGAAAGCTAAAACATGGACGGTTTATTATGGCTGGTTCTGGTGGTTCTGTTCCTGAGCCGATTTTGGTTCCCAGCCTTGCGGTCGAAGATTAAAAAGAGACGAAAAAGGTTCAAAGATGTTAAACGAGAAGAGAAGAAGAAGAAGAAGAAAAGGGATATCACAATAAACGCTGGTTGAGATTAAAAGAATAATATTTGAATAGAGAAAAACCCCTGGAGAAGTAAACAAGTCGACTGCTTCCACGAGGGGCGCTGCCTGGGGGGCCGAATCGGAAAAAAGGTCAGAAGAGAAGCAGTCGGAGGGAGAAATAAAGGATGAAGATGATGGGAATACTAGGATAGGAGAAGCAGAGGAAAAAGGATGGATAGAAGGAAGAGACGGAGGAGAGGATGAGATGAAAAGAGAGAGAAACGAAAAAGAGGAAAATGAGAGCCGGAGGGGCCTCAGATTCTCAAACCCGGGCCAGTTGGCAGATCCCCCGGTCTAGACTGCCGCGCGGAATACAGTCAGACACCAACATGGTCTTCCTAGGTGCAGAGTATGTATACAAAGTATATGCATTACTAGTGCTAGTGTTTGTTCAGTATATCTGTTAAGTTGTTAACATCGCGTTTATTGCCATTAACAGCACTGCAAGGCATGCCGAGTGACCCCCGATTCTAGACCAATCGGCCGCACAGGGCAGTCGGTGATCTGTTTCACCGCAGAAGACACCTGACTGTGAATACACTCCATTAAACATCCTCATTCCAAACTAAAGTATTCACTTCAGTCAGCATTAAGTCTAGGGGAATATCGAACAGCAGCTGGGGACTGGCAACAATCAACTCTCGAACCGCCCGATACATGGATGACTACCAACGCTCACCGTTAAGACTTCCAGGCCCAGTATCTGGACCCAAAGAAGTACGGAGTAGCTTTGAAATGGTCTTTGAGAATTGCAGGTCTGGCCATCCAGAGCAATTCTCAGGCTTGCGCACGGCTTTGCGCTCTGTTGCTCTTCCTCGCGAACACAGACACACCACCCGAGCCTAGCAAGCCTGACTTCGCTTATTTAGTCTTGGTCACCATCCAGCCATTGTCATGCAACACAGAGCAAACCTTATGCTCCCACATGTTTTGATGTGGTGGGAACTCGGATTGCGACGGCCAATGCCCTGCCAGCGAGCTGATCGTGTCTCAGCACCTGCAGTGGAGGTTGTCTGAAAGGGCACGGCGCTGTCGCTGATCCACAATACTGTACGTAGGGCCACGGCACCGTGGTCACTGGTCTGAAAACTGGGCTTATCGACGAGCCTTCAAAAATTGATAGCTGCCACTGGGTAGCGAGGGGGATTGCGTCCAAAACACATGTGGCAGTAAAGACATACAGCGAAGTGCAAAATCCCTGCCACCGTAGGTCTCGATATACTGTTAAGCTTCGTTTCTATTGATCTCTATGACCTTGGCAGAATCTGACAATCATACTTCGTTCCAGGGGGGTACCAAAAAGGCCCTATGCTGTGATGGGCCCGCTTTCCTCCCAGAGTTGGGGAACAACGAGCAGGAACTGGATTTTCAGTGTAACAGAAGCATCTGCAAAACATTCGACGAAGTCTGTTCGCCTCCAGCCGGGGGGGCCTGACATCCACTGCAGAGTGGAAAAGCGCGGAGCCTACCGCAAGTTTAGGGTCGACATGACGGATGAAATTGTCCTCCGTTTTCGGTCACAGGCAAATCCCTCAATTGGGAAGCTGGTCCAGCCACCAAATGGGCAGCAGGCCCTCCCCGTGGCTTTCGACTTTGTCTCGAACGACTGCGGGGAGCGAGGTAATTGACCGCCTCCTGGGCGGTGTCGACCTGGGAGACTTCGTGACCAAGCACATATTTTGTGGCAGAGGAAGATTTCAGTGTTATCGCAGCTAGAACTCCGAATGGCTGATGGCCGAGTGTCACGCTCACATCCGTCAAGCATCATTACAGTTCGAAGGTTCTATAATTCTTTGTCAACATACATATTGATCTGTATTCTGCAAACAACATTGGATACAGCTGCAAACTGTTTCTAGATGGGTCAAAGTGTCTAATCAAGATACCACGCTCCGAAGGGCCATTCAGACCAGGCGCCATTCCCACCTGGTGGTGATGTAACTGGAACCAACAAGTCCTATCCTCTGGGCTTCAGGCCGGCAGCCACGATAGCCACAGGAGCCAAGTAATCGAATTTTTGAAGCCTTAGGCTCGAAGCGCAATCTGTGAGGCCTCGTAGCCTGCCATAACCAACCCGGTTCCATTTGTGCTTTGGTCGGACTCTTTGGTACAGCGTGTTGTGTTACGGTGAGCATATTTTTGTACTATCGTGTAGGGCTCTCGATTTCTCTACAACAACTGCCTCAAGATTTCCGCACGACACAACTTTTGAACGGTAGGCTGTGGGGGGTTTCTTTCTTTCTCATTCGGGCCCTCATGTACTTCTCTATTTTCCCAAGTTTCTATTTGTTTTGGAGTTTTGGAGCGCTTGTGGAATTGGTTTTTCCACGCGCATTGCCGCACTTCATTCAGCTGTACTATCTCTTTTCATCACCAATAGCCATGAGATACTTATTTGACGAATGTGAGTACTGTACTATGCTTCAAGTTAAAGTTTGGGAGATATTTGGGTCGCTAAGCGTAGAGATAGTCGAGCGTATGATTTAACAATATGGTAGTTCTTCGCATGTACGACCGCACCGATGCAACCCGCGTCCGCGAGCGTCCTCAAGACATCAATCAGCAAAAATGGGGCTTCTTCATCTACCACACCTGCTACTATCATAACCCTGCAAGATGTATCCAGTCCATGGGCAGGCTAAAGGAATTTGCCCGCCGCAAGCTCCTCAATTCAGATCTTGACCTAGAAGGGGATGGCGCTGCGATCATCGATGACCTAGAATGGAATATCCAAGAAGATCCAGCTATGGATAGATGTTCTATAGATGAGGCTAGACGGTTAATTATATAGTGATCCCATCAATTTGAAAGGAGCAGATATATATTGACGTTGTTAGACGACACCGAGACCTAATGCAGTCCATCTATGGCGCCTGCCCCCCTAGCCTTGTCCTCCCAGGGCATTCTATCTTCATCAACAAGACTGTGCTGGCTCTGTCCTTGTAGGACAAGCTCTGAGTACATGAAGAACTGATGATTCCTGCAATCAGACAGTGTCTTATTGTCATGAATATGCGGTGGTGGGACCAGCGGTTGAGGAAATTAGTTGTGATCAGCAGGCCAAGAAGAAGAAGAAGAAGAAGAAGAAGAAGAAGAAGAAGAAGAGCATTATCCTCCAATTAATGACTGTCAGATGTACGACGTGGGCTGGACAAAGATCTCTGTCAATCAGCTGTACCCAAGGTTATGTTGTCTCCTTCCAGGCAATGATCTTTGGCGTATTGTTTATAAAAGACCGCTGAAATCCCGGTTACTATATAGGAAGATGCTGCATATGACTGGAAATGACTGACTGGCTTGGGGTACAGAAGTATACAGCTTATTAGATTTGGAAAATGCATGAATGCCGAGGACGATCATCTCGAGCCATTTGTAGAATAAAGTGGATTGAGAAGGTATCAATGTTCAGGGAATATTTGGGTTGCTAAGCGTAGTTGGCGGCGGAGAATTCAAATCTCTGCCCATCCAGTATATCGATGACTGGACGGCTAGCAGAGACACTTGCTTGTTCAATTCAATGCCATGGTAGTCATTCATATGCATAACCGTGCCGACGCGTCCAACATCCGTGGATATATTCAAGAATATGCAGAGGAGAAATGGAGTTTTATAATCTACCGCGCCTACTTCTACGATGACTAGGAATGCTAGAATCAGCTCATGGAGCGGTCCAAAAACTGCGCTCGTACCAATATCCTCAGTCCAACTAAGCGGGATGGCCGGGATGAGGATAAATGTCCGTGGTCCGCTGCCTGAGGGCGTAGAGGATATGGAATTTGAACCTGATGATCAGGGCCATCCCCCGATTAATGGCTGTCGGATGTACGATGTTGGTTGGACAAAGGTCTTTGTCCGTAAACTCTACCCAAGATTTTACTGTCTTCTCACAAGCGGTGATTTTTGGGATGCTATGTATCAACGGCTGCCGAGGATCGCTAAAATCCCATAAGACAAATTATATAGACTGGAGAATGCCTGATAGACAACATCGTATCAAAGAAAAGTTGATGGACAATGGAACATCCAAACCATACGCCATTAGCTGCGTGAATTGTGTAATATGAGATTAAATGAACACAGAACGTCGTTAAAGGAAATGAAACCCCGAACACAATATGCATCTAGTCCTGTCGTCCCTTAAGGAGACGCTTGGTCACCTTGTCCTTCTCTATGATGTACACCTGAGCACCCCAGCCCGAAAGGGCGTCTCTGTCAACAGCACTGAGGAGGGCTTGGGAAATCGTTTCGAATAGGTCATCGGGGCTCTATTTCGCGGATACGTTAGATAATCGACAAACACGGATTTAAGGCCGAAGAGCAACTCACCAATCCTGGTTCCCATAGACCTTCACAGGTACCAAACAATTGATCACTGGCTGTTCCACTGACAATAAAGTCCTTGGCGAAATCAATACAGCCGATACTGTCGAACCCGCAAATAAATGGCTGATTTGTTGTCTCATTGATTCCGGCCACCACAGGACTGACAAAGAAAGGACCGAACCGTCTCTCATACAACGACGAACTGACTAGGTTGGCAAACGTCTGTGGTGCAATGTTGCGTTCCTCCCGAAGTCGGTACATGTTAACCTTGTAGCGAAACAGATCTGAGACAGTGTTGACATCGGTGGCCAGGCCGGTCAATCCGAGGAAGGTCGAGGGGGCGTAGTTGAAGATCTTGGGGAAGTTGTTCGACACAGTCAACGACTGCATACCGAGACGAAGATCGCAGGCAATGGCGACGCAGTCCTTGCCCACCATGGCCACGCAGGCACCGCCATCTGTCAACAAGTAATCGTATCAGTTATCTGACGGGCGACAGGGAAAGGAGGGGGAGTAAAATCGAGCGGGCAGCATACTGATACTGAAAGGATTGCTCTGTAATGATGAAAATGAAATTCGTCAGCTTGGATTGGTGTGGTTGCTTTGAGCAGCCATAGGTAGCTGGATACGACATACCATGGTGAATTTGAGTCAAAATCAATGGACGAGTAGCTTGGAAGAAGTATCACAGAGCAGAATAGCAGCTCCGGACCGCAAAAACGTGGTGGATGGCGTGACAACAGGAGAGGTGATGGAGGTTGGAGGAGGAGGAGGTTGTGGTGGTGGTGATGCTTCCGCTCCAGCAATCGAAGCTCTCTACGCGCGGGCAGAGCCGCAGCCAGCGATGACGCTACTGTCAGTCACTTCTCGTTGCTCTTCTTCTCCCTTCCCCAGCTTCAATATTTTCTATATCTTTTTCTTTCTTAAAGCTTCTGTATTATTCCTTGTTAAGCTTATCCTCGCATATATAATTTGAATAGAAGCAGACAGACAAACACTCATCCCTTCCTGCCTTCCAATCTGCCCCGCAAATCGCCATGAGCTCTCACGTCGTAGTCATAGACTCGACTGCTCGAAGAGCTACTATCAAAACCTCCCCTGGCAAATATCTAACTGATGTTTTACAAGAAGCCTGTACTAAGCTGGGTGCGGAACCTAGCCAATGTGGCCTGAAGTAAGTGCTCCACGAGCACGGAGAAAAAGTATACTAACTGACAATAAAAAGACACAACAGTAAACAGTTGGACCTCTCACTTGCCTTCCGTCTCACGGGACTCACCTCCGGCGCTAAACTCGAGCTCGTACAGCTTTCTCGATCGCCCTCCGTCGTCACGGTCGCTATACAACTACCCGAATCAGAAGCACGCGGACTTCCCAGCGGTCGTCTTTTGGATAGATTTCCCAGCTCTACAACGTTATGGCATATCTTACGGAAGTTCGAGGCAGGTGTTGCAGGAGGAGGGTCGACACGGAATCTTACAGCACGTGGTGTCCCCTCAACAGATAATGGCGGTACGGGCGCAGGAAGGTTGTTCTACGAGATTCCCGTGTTGCAGACCATGGGACGAGAAATGTCGACATTTGCAGATCTTCAGAAGTCACTGGCACAGCTTGGTTTCAATAGTGGGAATGTTTTGTTGAGACTGAGTTTCCGGCGCACAGAGGAGCCTCTGGAGGTAGCTATGGTCAAGATCCAAGATTACTTCAAAGTGGTTGAAGACGACATGGCAGCGACGACAACGGCAGCGACGACAACGGCAGCGACACAAGAGCAACCCGTGCCGGATCGGGCAACACGCGATGAGCAGCCAACAGACATCGAACCGAGTGGTGAACCTCCTCAACCTTCTCCCGCCGTCCCCGAACAGCCCTCTCACGTCGCTCCACCACCCGCCGCTACTTCTACCCAGCCAACCCCAAATCCAACGGCGGCCTCTCGTCCCATAACAGTTTTCTCTCCTCCCACCAGCAGCACACCCCAGTCTGCTCAATTAGCCTACAATGACAATGACTATGTTCCATCAGTTGAGCACGCACAAGCTCACCAGCGCCGTCTAAACGAGACCTCTCGACCACAGCGTTTGCCAACAGATGCAGAAATCGCCGCAAAGGAATCAGCAGAGGCAGAAAGGTTGGCATCTGTGAAGGAAGTCGACGTTAAAGTCCGGCTTCCCGACCAGAGCCAGGTAATGTCCAAGTTTGGTCAATCGGATACGGGCAAGTCTCTTTACGATTTTGTGAGAAGCTGTTTGGCAGAGCCATTTGTGCGGGAGAAATTCCTTCTCGCAGTCTTTCCCGCTGCTGGAGGTCTAGGTCCCGGTGCAGGAAAGAAGCTTCAGAATGTGGTCCCTGACTCGGAGCGTTCTTTGTTAATCAAAAACCTGAACATGGTCGGACGGGTGCTTGTTAGCTTCTCTTGGGACCCGACTGTCTCTTCGGCTGTGCGGGGGAGTAGAACCAGTCTCTTGAAGTCGGAGCTCCAATCTCAGGCACAGCAACTCAGAGTCGAACAACCAGCCGCTGTGCCAGATGAGCCCGCTGGTAGTTCGAGAGTGGGAGCCACAGAGCAGCGTCAAGGTGAGAAACCTGCGCGGAAACCAGGAACTCTGCCCAAGTGGCTCAAGTTACCTGGGAAGAAATGATAGCGTTGATGCATAGACACATTTAATGATTATTGATGCACGTGGCGGCTTCGTAAATGCTTTTGTTCTTCATTACATACAAAACCAAGGCGAAATAGTTGCCAGGAGTTGCATTCTAATAAACATCATGAGCGTTCTTAACCTACTTCATTCTAGCAACCAAATGGCTCGAGATGGTTTCCCATTCTAGAGGCAAATTCTGAACCTAATACCTGATGTATTGTATTCCAACCAGCCATTCTTTGACCATAACGCTATAACCCAGCTTCTGCCCTATCCTAATAGATTACGACGCCCAAGCATTCGACCGAGTCTCTGGCGGTCGTTTATAAACAAAACGTCAGAGGTCATTGGCCAAGAGCAGACTATACACAATCGTGAATGAAGATTAGCACGCAGACCTTTGTCCAGCCCACTTCATACATCCGGCAGCCATTAATCAGAGGATAGGATTCATCCTCCTCTCCGCCACGGCTATGAATTGGGTCCATCGCGAGGGGTCGTCACAGTAGTAGCAGATGTGGCAGATGAAAAGCCTCATTTTTATTAATCCAGCTTTGAAATATTGCAAGGTCTTCGAACGTTCTCGGATGCAGGTGGCATCGATACGGTTATGCATGCGGACTACTATTATGCTGAAGTATAAGATCGAGTATATCTGCTAGCTGGATGCGCAGACTTGAACGACTTTCCTTCGTCGTTGACCGCCCACAAAGTGAGCCATACATGACTACGAAGATGAACCAAGAATAGAGGCATAGGAGCAATGGAGCCGTAATGCAAATGACACCGAGGGAGAGATAACGCGAAGACCAAAGTAAAACAAATAGAGAAAAGGTATCAATTCGATTCCGAAGTCACGACTTCAGAAAACAACTGAATGGGAAAACTCGTTCATTAAAACTTTTTTTTAATTTCATAATCGAACTCCCATTCTCAACCACGCCATGCCATTTGCCATTGCCATTACAGCAAGCAACCCAATTCCTCACTTAAAAATTTTCGTTATCTCGTTCCGTTCCCGGGAAGAAATTCCATTTCTATTTGTCGGGGAAATAAAACAACACGGATGGGAAATAAAAAAAGGACATCGAGTAAAGGGATCAAGATAGCGGAAATTTTTAGTGTCCACCAACACGACGGGACTCGGCGATGACGGTCTGCATGTCCTCAACCTTTCTCTTGCCACGGGTGAAGGTACCGAGCTGTAGAAAAAGAATGTTAGCGATGTTCATCGTGCTTGACAATGGGGTTCGAGCTGGTTTGGTTTGGTTGCTGTCCTGCTGCTTGCTCGTTGTCGGTTTTCGGTGTCGTACCGCGTTGTCGGTGGTCGTAGATATCGTTGTCGAGTGGATGTCGTATCCGTCACGTACATGTCGAAATGTCGGATTTTACGGTCATCGGAGTGGTAGAATCGCATCCATCATCGGTAAGACCGGAAACACAGTCGAATATTTTCCTCCAAAAAAAACCAAACCGACCGAACGAGCAACAAGACACAAACCACCAAACCATTCAAACCATCGGATCCGAAAACGTACCCTCTTCTTAGCGAGCTTACGAGCGCGCTTGTCCTGAGTGTTTCTCAGGAGTTCAATGATACGACGCTCATAGGGGGCAAGACCGACAACCTCGCGGGTGATCTCGCGGACGAAGGCAGTGCGGCGGGAAGACTGGCCCTTGGTGCGGCTGATCTTGGTCTTGGGAGTGTTGAGAGGGGTGGTTTTCTATAGACGAGATCTAGGTCAGTCAAACGTTTCGGGGGGGATTTGTTGATTTCGAATTGATAAGATTTCATGCTTTATCCTGCCAATTTGAGCCGGAAAATTTTGGTCGTTCGCGATGATCCTTTCAAACACCAACATCCTCCTCTTCCTCTCCATTTATTTGTCTCCAGGCATATCCCTCCATCGCAAACAGAACCAAATCCCTCCGAGCTCGACTTGGCCGGATACCGCAAGAAAAATTCCAATCCAACACAGAAAAAACGAGTGACACGGGGAGAATTAACGTACGTGGCCCTTGTTGAGACCAACCACGATTCCGGAACGTTCCTGCGCCATCACGACGGTTGATGACTTGGGATTGGCGACGACGGTGGTTGCTGAAGGGAGTTGTCGAAGTCGAAGGCTCGTCGGTGCGGTTGGATTCGCGATACACTTTGCGGATTTTTGGTTGGCCGCCCGCCGTGGTGCGTAGCGAGGAATAGGGCTTAGGGCATGCTCTTTGATTGGTTGACTTTGTTTCCTGATGGGGTTAACGTGGATTACCGGATTTGGACTACTACGGAGTAGACGACCTACAACTTCGAGGTACATTAACATCATGTATGCGTTGCTATGGCATTTACAGCATTTAGACAAACTGGAATCCCGCATATATAAGCGTAGCCTGTTATTACGAGTTGCCAGCGACAAGAGAGCTGCGTAGAATCTCGGGGTCGTACTCCGTACCAAAAAAGCATCATGAATATTATTTTGTCTTTCACTCGACCAAATAGTAGAATACTTCACTAAGGCTCGGGTCCTGTAATCAGTTTATTGCTTCAATGTAGTCTTTCAATGCGATTCATCGATATACTGTAATTATCCTTCGCACGCACCGGCGCAACCTGCATTCAAGAGCATTTTTTGAACATCAATGAAACGAAATGGGGCTTCTTCATGTACCGCACCTGCTACTATGATGACCCTGAATGATGGAACCAACTCATGGACAGGCTCAAGGGACTCGCTTGCATCGGCCTCCTCAATACAACCCAGAAGGCGACGGCGCGGCATCCGTGGATGATCTAGGAGGATCCCGCTATGGAAGGGTGTTCGGTAGATGGTGTTAGACATTTAGAAAACTTCCATTCTCCATTCCCTGTTTCACTCTGCCACTTTTCTGTGCAATATAAACCAGCCTCGCTAAGGAAATAGACGACATCGAGATCTGATGCGCTCTCTCCACGGCGCATTTGAACCTGCGTTTATCAGTCGTAAACTCCCCATATTCATCGACATTGAGTCCGTCGATTCTGTTCTAGTAGGGCTAGTACTGAGTGCTTGGAGGGCCTCAGACAGCTGCAGTCCATCCGCATATATTATTAGCATGAATTTGCGGTGGGACCGCCAGGAAGAAGAAGCCAGACGTGGCCCCTGGCCTAATGATGACGGTGAGAAAGAGTGTTATTCTTTGATTAACGGATGCCAGATATACGATGTGGACTGGACGAAGATCTCTGTCCGTAAGCTTTATCCAAGATCTTATAGTCCTCTCTCAGACAGCGACCTTTGGCGTACTGTTTGTAGACGACCGCCGAAGGTTTCTCCAGCCTCATAAAGGCCAATTATGTACAGATATTGGATCGATAATTGGCATAAGAATGATCGAACTTGATACAGTTGTAGCTAGTTTTTAGCAGTCGTTCGAACGCAGATAATCACCGGGCTCAATTAGGGTGGGCAATGTCACAGATCACTATCGATCTCTTAAGCGACTAGCTCTCGAAACAGCCTTTGATAAATACACTATACCGGCTACTTTCACTCTCCCATCAACTTAAACGAAACCTCAACCGGATCACCCCCAATCCCCCTCCTCCTCGCCTCCTCCAAAATAGCCACAGCCGCCGACGCGCCAACCCGATTAACCCCCAAGCTCCTAGCATGCAACAAATCATCCAACGTCCGAACACCCCCAGCCGCCTTAATCTGCACCTCCTCCCCAACATTCTCCTTCATCAGCTTCAAATGCTCAACGGTAGCGCCCTTGTAGTTATATGATCCATCCGCCTGCTTCACGAAGCCATAGCCTGTGGATGTCTTGACAAAGGCGGCGCCTACTTCCGTGCAGATCTTGCATAGTTGGATGATGTGCTCTGGTTTTAGGTAGTCGTTTTCGAAAATAACCTTGAGTGTTGCCCCGTTGTCCATGACAGCCTTGTTGATCTTCTCGATCTCATTCCGCACATACCCCCAATCACCACTAAGCACCTTGCCCACATTCACAACCATATCGATCTCAGCACCGCCAGCTCTTGCTGCAGCGGTAGCCTCAGCAACTTTAATTTCAGTTGTGCTGTTGCCATGCGGGAAGCCGATTACTGGACAGATGAGGACGTCAGTTCCGTCGAGTTCTTGTCGCGCGAGCGGGATGTGGTAGGGTTTTATGCAGGCTGTTGCGACGTGGGTGTCGCGGGCATTTTGGAGGCCCGAAAGGACGTCGGCGTCGGTTAGGGTGGGGTGGAGGAGGGAGTAGTCGATCATTTTAGCGATTTGGGGGACGGATACGGTTATGGTATTGGGCATTTTGGTGGTTTTGATGGTGTTATCCTTGATTGGGATTCCAGTGACCGTTTTGTTGCTAGGTTTTGTACAAACAAGAGGGGATTGTATTTTTGATTTTATGGGGTAGATGGGGATCGCCTTGGTTTAAGTATCTGGGGTTGTACAACGCAACATTGCATGCAGTTCCGGTGGATGCCCAAACAGGAAATTTGAATCACTGGTTAATCACTCAGGCAGATAGTTGCCTCAGGAGGAGGAAAGTGCCTAGGATAATTTGATCAATATCATGCCACCAGGTTGTTAATTAAACACTATATAGCGTGCCAATCTACTCTGGAAGCGTAAAACTATCCAATCCTCATATCCACGCTTGCTCCAACGACGGAAACACATCATCATCCAACGGCCAGGCGAGATTATCGGAACCCTGCTCTGCTTGAGAAGTGCAAAATGGAGATGGTGGGAGCATCACTATACTTAGGTTTAGCTCTGATTGAGATAATGAAAGGGGTAGATGGCATACCTTTTTCAAATTCAGCTACGGTGTGATAGGGCTGTATCGGGAATGTACTGGAATGCCGTGTCATTTGTTACGGATCGAGAAGTCTCCTCAGGCCTCGTAATCACTGGTAAATAGGTTTTAGTACTGATCAATGAGTCTGGCTGTTGTGGACGAGGATCTTCCTCCGCCATAGCACGACAATGCTCATAACGACCTGCCTGCCCACCTGAAGCACCCACAGACTCAACACCAGGAACAGCAAGCATAGCGCCTAACTCCTCCAAAACATGCCTCGCCAAGCGCTGAAAAATCTCCAACCCCTGCGCAGACAACGGCGAGCGCTTCTTCAACTTCGCCTGAATAACCATCAATCTCTGCAACCCTACTTTAGCCTCGTGCGATTGCGAACTCAACGGGTCGATGCTGTTTAGTAAACCCAACGTGAGACCGGCAGTGAAAGTGTGGATGCTGATGAATGCAGCTGCGTAGGTATCTGCGACAAGGTCCATGATGGGTATTGAGGAGGCTTTGGAGATGTTGATGGCGGCGTCGCGGCATGCTTGCATTGATTGTGTGAATAGGTCGTTGGGATCTGGATGTGGCTGATCTTTTGCCGTATTCGAGCGAATTACTAATCGGAAAGAGAGTAGGGGTCTGTTAACGATGATCCGCGCGTTTTCTAGGCTAATTGGAGGGTCAACGCTTGGAGTTGGAAGATGTGGCTCTCGAACACCGGGTCGGATGCGCCTATGTGCAAGTCAACTTCTTCGCAGGAGGCATAGCCAAATACCTGCGATGATAAATTCCGGTGAGCCTGTAACAAAGGCGGAATGTCTGCTCTCCATGCTTCTAAGTTTTGGTTGATAGAAGCAACCTTCCGCACCAGATGTTGAGAAGACAATCTTGGTTTCACAGCAAGATTATTCGCCGACGCCGATCCAACACAGTACAACTGACTCTATATCTCATTGGTGATGACTAACAACTTGGACATGAGATACTCATAAGTCAGTAGAGTAGTCTCACATTGAAGCAGTTCATTAGAAGACGCCGGCGGCTGCGCAGCTGGCAATTTAGCAGACGGATCCAGCGGCTCTACGTCGCAATCGGCATCGTTGATAGAATGCAGATATCAACAGGACATGGAGCAAAAGGTCTCAATCTCGTAAATAGCCCACCGGCATTGCTTGCGGGTCTCGTTTTCGTTCCGCCATGCCATTGATGGTCGTTCATTATCCGTGCTTAGAAGCCGCAGCTTTCGATGGAGATGCAGTGCCTGCGCGATGCGAAGAGCGCAGCCGCAGACGGGCCATGCGAGTCCCGGATCGCCATGGAATAGATAGTATGTCCCCAATAAAACACAGGTCTGTGCTGCTTCCAACGTTCCGAGGGCCATGATATCCAGCAATCTCTCGCGGATAGCGGCGACTATGCGAGTCTGCAGTACATCGCATCAACCTGATAAGTAGCAATAAGGTACTTACGATGCGCACCAGCATATTGAAGTCCAATCGCAATGACGATGGGGAAAGTGCTGATGAACCCTAGATTTTCCGCAGTAGAATGGTGATGGCTCCGCTGTTGTCTGTACAATAACTGCCATCTCTGCCGAAACTCATCTTGATGGAAGAGAAGCATGAACCAGTGTACGCGGTCAAAGTATGTATCCATCAGTAGAGCAGCTGCCTTGTAATTCGGGAACAGCAAGGTTAGTTCTGCCACGCTGGAAGTTGGTGCTAATGGTCGTCTCATCCGGGGTAGTGCCCTGGCTATGCTGTCATTCGAAGCATCGTGATTACGCCGGCCGCCTGGTATTGCATCTCTTGCGAGTATCTCAGGGGTATCTTTTTTTATAGAGGCGGAATACCTAGATAGGTTGATCCTTAGTAGATGGACTATACCGGACTACTTACTCCGTCTACAGGGGATATAGTAGAACTTGAACGACCCAGCCGCTGGGCACCGCTGCCGGCTGTTTGAGGAACGTCCTTTATTCCATCATCATCCTCATCGTTATCCTTCTCATCCACAGCATCAAGTGAGGCATTCCTTTCTCCAGATTCACCCAAATTAGATCGATCTTTAGCCATCGATTCCAAATCCACAAAACTCCCAGTCTGACTCTCCAGCGACACTGCCGAAACCCCAGCAACAGAACCATCAGCACCCTCCAACCGAGCCCGTTTCACTGGCCGCTCGTATTCGGGAAGTACATAAGTCCTCCAATTTCCCTCCCCGGGAGCAATGCAGTCGGCACCAGCTCTAACACATAGCGTACATGGACGTTGGATGTCACGCTGTCATACACCTTAGTTCGACAAGGATATAAAACCAGAAAATAAAAATGGTGCACGAGAATTGATTTCAGGTAGTGAAGTATTGGGGGTTCATTTTGCTATGCTATAGAGTATTTGGAAAGAGTATTGTTCGACATAAACAAGATACACGCAACCTAGATCGGTAATTCGTTCCGGTGGAAGGAATGCCGAATCAGGCAATGGATCCGGAGAAACGGAGCCCTCGAGTATATCAAGAGCACCAGTAAATAAATTAATCTGGCATACAGATAACCCCAATACGCCAGGATTATATATTAGATTACCGTCTCATCATAATCATCAAACAGCCATCAGCCGTAGTGTCATACACAGTACATGTCAACATACAGCCATCACTTCATCTGTCCCCCGGCGCAGACTCAACATCCACTTCAATAGTCCTCAGAATCCCCTGCGACGGATATGCCTTCTCAATATCCACGCATGACGCATCAGGCGATGCTCCAGTTGACGCCAACGGCGTTGCATCTGCTTTCGCTTCTGCTGTTGAGTAGGAAGCGCCCTGGAAGATCTGGCTTTGGCTTTCTGCGGGGCTTCGGAGTTCGGTGGTGTTATTGCTGCTGGTATTTATATTTGTGTTATTAGAGCTAGTTTTGTCACTTATATTTGCATTGCTCTTGGTGGTGGTGTTACTGCCGTTATTCGAGTTGTCGTTGCTATCGTTGTGGGTTGAGTAATCACCCTCTAACTCCCAGGCACTGTATTTAAGAACCTCGTTGTCCTCTATCTCCATCCACCTACGCGGTGACTTTTTGTTCTGCTGTTGTAACTGGCTGGGGCTGTTGTTGTGGTGGTGTCTCCTTGAACTGCTGGTGCTTGCTTCGCTGAAGCAGGAGAGTTGGGTTGCGGCTCTTCGGAAGAGGTAGCGGACTTGTAGGGCGGGGAGGCAGCTGGCGATGATACCACAGGTGACTTCTGCTGTTCTGTAGCTGGTCAGCGTGATGTGAATGAATTTTCTTTTTAAGGGAGGGGGACTTACGTCCAGAGAAATTCGGGAAACCAGTCATGGGTCTTGTCGGCGGTGTTACTGTTCTTGACGCTGAAGACTAGTCTGACGACGCTGGCGCAACAGCCGCTGTTTTCTTTTTAGCAACGATAATGGCATACCAGACACGGGGAACAGGGGATGGGGGATGGGGATGAGCACATACAATGAACCTGCCGCAAAAATCGCCAACACCCCCAGCTTCTTCGTCCTAGTCATCAGCTTCAGTTTCAACACGCAAGCAATTGGAAGCAACAGGATCATGAAGTCCGACGCCACATTGATAGCCGAGGTCACCAGAATCGGAATGTTGATGTTGATACATGACCCCTCCGCATTTTTCTCCCAGATCTTATGCCGCGGCGTGCACTCGAAAATCTTGACAATGGTGTCGGCTAGGTAGAAGAAGAAGTTGAACCAGATGAGGAGCTGGATAATCATGTATCTTGTTGTTTTCTTGACGGCGGTTGTGAAGATGCGGATGTAGAGGAGGAGGAGGGAGAGTTTGGTGATGAAGATTAGGGGGCCGTAGGCGATTTGCGCGATGTTTGCGATCTTTGCGGTGTTAGTTTTTCTTCCTTTGGTACTTGTTGGGGTTGACCTACCTTGGAGAAATCTCTGGCGTCAGACTCGGCTACCAGCCATTGATGGATACCACTACCATGCTTGTCGGCCTCGAAGCATATGACTCCATAGCCAATGAGGCCGAGCTAGTCTCCGTAAGTTTCTGAAGATCTTGAACGACATGATGAAAACATACCCAGGCCAACAAGCAAGTCCAATCTTCCGCTATCGTCTCCCGTACAATGAACACCTTTGAAAACATTCGCAGTGCCACGCAAATCGTGCTAATTACCAGACATACCACTTGGGTGACAATATCCCATCCTCGCATTGAATTCCGATAGTCATAGGTGAGGGTTTCTGTTGACGGCGCAGGGCCGTTATTCGTAATGGGAGCCATGGATCATAGACGTTCAAGTTCAGACAAATTTTTGATGGTATAAAAATGAAGAAGCTCAGCTCCTACCCTTCAAAGTATCAAGATAGAAAAGCATCCAGCATCCTATTCATGAAAAAAACATATGACAATGACGACAAGTCAAGTCAACTGACCAGCAAGCAGTAATAGTCACCGAGGTTGAACCAGGTTCACAGGGCCAGGACCCGTTTATCAAGGGCTCAAGCAATGACCACACCGCAGCCGGCTTTCTTGCCATTGTCAAAGTTCCCGGCTTCTCCTCTCTGGGGGATGGAATGGCAGCTTGCAGTCGTACAACGTCCAAGGTGAGTGAGGAAAATAAACGGGCCGATTGGGAGCGGACATGGTTGACTGGCTGGAGAGGATTATGGAGAGCAGAAGGAAAGTTGGATTTTGCGCTTTGCTGCATGTCGGTGTAACGGTTGAATGTTAATGAGTGGGTTTGTGGTCTGTGAGGATGGGGTTTGCCCGTGGATCAGATGCATGATATTGCTTTTTATTGGAGTCGGTGGCATGGTTTGCCTGTCGAAAATGAGGATCAGGCCTTCGAGGTATCCGATGCATGTACCCATGACAAAGGATATTATTTGGAATATTCAGGCGAAGAAGAAATGCTGCATAGATCGCCCCCAAAAGTACCGCACAGCAGCTACCAGCCATCCAATTCACAAGACCTAAGCCGCAAGGCCGGAGAAGCGCCTGTATAACCTCAAATCCGGAAACGCAGCACCATCTGTACGACTTGCAGAAGATTAGCAGGTTACATACTTCTCTCGTCGTAAACCGGCCTGCTCTCTTCTGGTTAGTCAACTCGGGTACTGTGGTATCTCCCCGATGTGATGCACCAGTAACCCTCGCCTAGGTTACTTGCACCAAATAGTGCTGGCGTTTGTTGACTTGGTTTTACGAACTATCATATGACTTCATTAATCGTAGCAATGTGATAGTCTATAACTGAGGAACGCTGGGACAGGTTTGTTCATGCCATTATTCATACCGGTACAGGTAGGCTGCTACCTGTCCGGAGTTCAGCATTATATTCATTCATCTATGCGCATACGTTTTCTTTTTGCAGCTCCCGCTCACAAACTCACTCCGACTAACCCCTCCAATCCTTCTTCCCAGCTTTCCATCAGCTCTCCAGCAAAAACTTCCAATGCCGAGGTATCGAAGGTCTTCTCCAGAGCATCGCGAAGCTCACCGGTCGTGCCACTGAGAACTAGATTGATCAAAGCACTCAGCACGCCGGGTTCAGAGATACGGGACTTGAGGTTCCGAATGTTCGTCCTTACGCTCTCGTGAGCTTGACGGACAGACGTTGTCAGTTGCTCTATACGGTCCTTGGGCAGCATGGCGGATTTAGTGCCCTTCTTCGATGCGATGACTGTTAATTGCGAGACAGCTTTGAGGGTTTCGAGGATGAGGGATGTTTCATGGAGGAATCTCCAAGATGGTGCGGAGGGATACTCTGAGTGGAAAGTGATAGCTGTGTTGGAAATGATCGGGGATGTCTTGTTGTCGTTTGGTGCGAGGTACTGAGTCTTCGAGCTTAGCCATTCCTCCACTTGCGATAGCGATCCTTCGACTTCTTCAGGAGTAATCGATTTCGATCCACCCAGGTGAGAAACCACCTTCAACAGGTTCAGATGGTTCTTCGTGGTCTCGACCTCTGCAGGGGTCCTATCGAATTCTGGATCCGATCCAAGAATCTCGTCGAGGCTGGACAATGCAGCCTCCACAGACACGGGTCTTTGAGCAGCCAGTTCCTTGATGAGCCCGAACAGCCGATCTGTTACCCGGCTCGACTTAACCCATGGTTCCTATATCCTATTAGCCGCCAGTCAAGCATCATATCGAACGTGACCTACCTGAGGCAATGGACCCAAGCGCATCCGCTCTTCGAACGTTGGCTTCCCGGGAGCCTCGCAATTCATGAACGCGTCAAATTTCCGCTGGTCATACATAGGAGACTCGTCGTTTGCTGCAGCGTTATCTGGTAAGCATGGTTCAACTCACTAGTATAAATAGTAAACTTACCAATCTCATCGTAGCGCCCCACAGGTTTCCCTCCGACCAACCTCTGCGTACGCTTCACTTCCAACGCATATATCCTCCGGCAAATACTGTTCTTCAGGCGTCTTTGAAGATCTATGGTGCCCTCCACGTTCACGTAACTGCCTAAATCCAACCCATTCGATCTGTTCCGGATGGTCGTGATATCTGCATTGCGGTAGAAGTTTAAGCCCTGCATGAGGGCGATTTGCGGGTCAAAGTCCTTGTATTCTGCACCTTCGATCGGTGGTGCCGAGTGTGGGTGAACGGTTGCAATGCGGGTGAAAAGGTTGTGGGCGACAGTTTCGAACTGGAACTGCTTGACGGAGAGCTTGCTGAAGGTCTTCAGAGCGAGAGAACCGGCACCGAGGCGGAGGTAGATCCGTACCAGCAACAGCAATGCCTGGTAATTGTGAGGCGAGTCGACAAGCAGGCGATCCAGAATTCCGGCTGCGCGAATAAGAGCGGTGTCTGTGATTTGTTCGCCTTCGTGTCCGAAACGCATCAAGCTCATCGCGGCGAGCAAGCAAAGGTCGTCGCTCGGTTGGCTCTCGATCACGGATTCGTCTGATTTCTGGTTCGGGCTACGAAGTTCATTGTAGGTCTTCAGGCAGCGGGCAATGTAGTCTTCGGACATTTGCGTTGTAACGCTGGCCTCGTCAGACGACAGTTGGAAGCAATACTCCAACTTAAGGGCGTTGATAACCGCAACGCCTTTGAATGGAGAGACCTATTCAATGTCAGCTGGCTACAAAAATAAATCGAGAAAAGATTCGTCTGAACGTACGTTACTTTCGCTCTCTTGCGTCTTGAGCGTGTACTCGACAAACTTGGACAATCCATCCTTTTCCAGTTCAGGGAGATACTTTTGAAGGTCACCGAAGCAGTAAAGCTTGCTCTTATTCCAGTCAAAGTACTCTTGGCTGGCAGAATAAAGGTCATCCTTCGTCAAATTGCTCGACTGAACACCCCAATGAATCAGGTCCAATTGAGCCAGCTGCGCGTTGCGAGATTTGGGCACTGCGTTGAGGAAGACTTTGATGAAGTTTTGCGCCTCAGTAGTCGTCCTTGTGTCTGTCAGTCGATTAACCTATGACTTAGGAAGGAATGTACTTACTCTGTGTTGTTGATGTTCCGAACAGACGCAACAAGCAAATTCCAGACAGCCCAGTCATCACGCTCCTGCAGAGCCTTCCGCTCATTCTCATCGGTGGGGATTGCGAGCAAGCTCTTCGTGTAGGCAAGACCCTCGGTCCACATTCCAGCCTTCTCCAGACTCTCCACCTTGGTTCCGACAAAAGTCCAATCATTCTGGACGATCTGCGAATTGAGTCCGAGGTTTTCGCTGTCAAGAAGTTTCACGACCTCGGGGTGACGGTCTTGGGTCTCAAGGATCTTGACAAGCAGCAGTAGTTCTTCGGTTGTTTGGATGGCTTTCGGTGGGCTGGGCGATTCTTTCTGTTGCAATTGTTATTATCATGCTGTAGCACGGTAGACAATGGAGAGCATACGGGATCGGAAGGAACGCTTTCGGCAGCTTTAGAAGCCATGCGGTATGCCAGAGTACCAAAGAGCTTCTTCTCAGCTTCCGAGCTCTTCGAATCGGTAGCGGTAAGATGGCAGAGGAAGACGGCCCAGAAGTAGTACTTTCGCGTCTTTGAGAAGTTACTCTGGAGACTCATGGCAGCCTGCAAATCCAAATATATCAGCCCCATACCAAAACAATATAATCTTCTCAACCCAGACAAACCTTCTGCGCAGACTTCCAATCATCATTCTCAAACGCATATGTAAACCACCGCATCTGAATCTCCAGATCCTGCGGCTTAGCCTTCGCGGCCTTTTCCCAGAGTACCTGCTTGGTATCTTCCTGGTCGCTCATCTTTTCCAAGGTCTGCTGGAGGATATCGAGGGTCTCGAGGTCCGTCGCGGGGGGTTCGGCTTTGCATAGTTCGAGAGTCTCGGTCACTCCACGCTTGTGGTGGGCTTCGTCGGCATGGCGGAAGAGAATATGGGCTTTCCATGCCTATTCAGCAATACTATTAGCGATACGAACAGAAAAGCAAAGCTGATTTCTATTGTGATTGTATGTACAGCAAACAACCCGAAAACACAGCCACAAGTTATAAACACACCTTCAAAAACCTCGTATCCTCCCCCTTCTTCATGCGCTTCTCGATAAGCTGCAGCGCCTGCTTGAGATTCTGCGCATCAATGGCATCCTGAATTTGGTTATTGCGCCGCTGGAAGACAGCGTCGTTGGTGGTCGACACCATGGCGAGGTCGGGCTCGGGCTGGGTGCTCTATCTGTGCGATTTATACCCCGTTTGATTCGGAAGCAGTGCGGAGGTAATAAAAAAAAGGGTATTCGTATGCTGCGACGGGGCACAGCACACGCGTGCGAATGGAGAATTAAAAGCGATATGGAGGGGAAGTTGATATTCCGATTTACGGGTGCTTTTTTTGTCGGCGGGGAGTGAAGGCGGTGGTGGGTTGACTACATACTACAACTATGGACGTCAAGTAAAAGAATGTGAGTGTCTGTACTTGGTGATAAAATATGTTTTAGTTTCTGAAAATTCAATTGTTAGGGATACTTTATTGCAAGTTAGTTCCAGACATGCTCATCATGTACATCATCCACTGTGGGCATTACAGATATATATATATATCTTGCCAAGAAGGTTAAGATGTTGATTCGTACAAAGGACTGCACATACCAAATTTCATGCGGAAAACACGATAGGAAATGGGTATATTGAAGCACAACTAGTAGTATACACATAGTTCAAGAATACAGTATCATCTTGTCTAGCCCTTCGAGCAATCGGGATATCAAGAAAGAACCCAGTTTCATGGCAAACAGGCAGAGTTCCCAGACAGCACCCGGTACCTGGAAGGGTATCCATTTGAGCAGAAAACTCATAGCCCTGGTTCGTTGTCGTCGCCGGACGAACAAATCCCATGCCCTGGAACCCGAACTCAGCATCATCGGAAGACAGGACTATGGAGAACGCAGCTTTCGGAACACTGATAGAAGAGTATCCGCCTGATATCACGGCGCTTGCAACCAACGGAGCGATTGAGGCTGACAATCATCGATAAGAGAGTAATGGTTCTTGTTACTTCTGGCTAGAGCCAAACCTTTTCTGCGTCATCTGCAATATGTTAGCAGATATACTCTTCCATGAACATCGGCTAGACTTGATCCCTTGGCATCGAAATTCTATACAGGTGACTCACCCAGGTCTTCTTACAGTCCCGATAAGCTCTGCAGACATCGTTAGCACATACACAATATCGAACAACATACAGTGCCAAGGGCAATCAACCATAGCCCCGACGCAACACACAGAACGCTTAATCCAGCTGCCCTAATATAGAAACCAAAATACCAACGCAGATAGCAAAGATATACTCACTGAAAATAATCCCCACACATTTCCTTATCAAAGCCATTCCGTCTCATACACTTGAGACTCCGGTCCGCAAAGTCCTGACACGGATCATAGTACTCGCTGGCGCTCTTGCTGTTCGCAAACGGTAATTAGCATCTGTCAGTCAGAATCACGTTAGATGAGCACATTGTGTTGGTACAACAGTGGATCAGCCGCTAATGGTGGTAGTCGGACGGACGGATGTATCAATGCGCTCTGTATCAATGCATGCTTGGAGTACGACGATAGCCGTCGTCTTGAAATTGGCTTGACTCCGGTACGATAACCAACATCCGACTCTGATCACCACGCCTCGACAATGTACTCAAGCAAAAGCGATACAAAAAAGGCACATACTGAGAAAACTTCCTCTCCGTCTTATTCACATTCTCCACCGGCAAAGTCTGCCTCTGCTCATTCTCATTCGAAGCCATAATGGATCCTCAGTATCAATCCTTAACCAACTACGCCGTAGTACATACTCTACAAGTAACATGAGGCATGAAGTCCCCCACGACCTCGGAACAACCCGGCGCCCGCCGATCGGATACCGCGGCACGCCGGCATTTCACCGAGGAAATGCCGCGCTTGGCGCGGAGAGACAGACGGTTTTTGAATGGCTTCATTTTTTGGCCCAACGAGGTAAGTGAGGAGGCTCTGCAGTGATAAGGATTTGTAGATTGGATTTAAGAATGCTTGGCTATATAGTACAGACTAGGATACTGCTATGTACAGTATATAGGTACCTGTAGGTACTCCGTAATGCGCTTTGATTAGTCGTGCAGATACTTCTCCATAGTGAAAATTTTTCTAGTCCGTCATCGTACTTTTCGTACTGTACGACTAGACTGGCGCTAACGAGTCAAAATGCCACCCGAACCGTGAACTCGCACAAATCCCGTCAGTCCTAGTGACTTGAATACGCACACTGCAATCGTCTCTGTTGCCACGGCACCATATTGCCACACGCGCATACGCACCGCATATCCACGGAGACACGAGAAGGACAAGAACGAGATGGTTCGGGTCAATGCTGGCGTAGGCTCCTCTTTCTCCTCACGGTCTTACCCCTCCTCAAGATGATCCATCGTTCAAAATTTTCTTCCTTCCGGTGCTTCCTTCAGCCTGCCAACCCCTTCCATTGCTCCGTTGTTCCTGTTGCTCGCATTGCCGTTGACATGTTACCGGCAAATTCGTTATCAATCTAAATCCGGAGTAGTAGAAAAGCGAAGCAATTGGCGAATGCTGACCGGCCCGGGGTATAAAAAAAAAAAAAAAAAATCCCAATCTGGAGCCATACATCTGCGACACACTTACTACGGCCGGTCCAATTCTCTCTCAATCCATCCTCCAACAAGAAGCGCCACTCTAATGTAAACCGAGGCCCCGCCCCTGCTCGAGCCAGGGTTCCTGTAGGCCGGTTGTGAGATAAAGGTGACCCTCAGCGCCCGTCACGAAACTTTATGGCCCGAAATTGTTCTGTTATTTGCCAGAAAGTGGATAGCCTCGTTTTTAAACTGCATTATTTTTTCTGGTTGATTGAGAGATGTTGGATGGCTTTGAATCTGCTGGAAGCGGTATGTGCATATATACTCCATATTCTGCATCGCATCGCACCATGCACTATGGTGTAGGACGTGTGTTTTAGCTAGAAACAGTGCCTGGGAGAATTATAATTTAGTGCCGTACTCCGTACGGCGCGTAGACTTCCTCGGGTAGCAAGCCTGGTCTTGGAAATAAGGAAACACAAGGTAGCTCATACTCGGAACATCTCCTTAGATAGACAATTTGCCGAAACTCATTCTTCTTCTCTTAACGCAGTCTAGGCAAAAGTCCTTGGCGCCCATGTGCTGAACGTCGACTACATCTGTACTCTGCAGTCTGTGCAGTAATCTGATCTTCAGCGGTAGCGCTGCCTGTGACTGCCATCCGAAAAAGGCAACGCACGTCTCCATCAAATCGTGGCACTATCCCATTTCGGGGACGCTGTTCGCATAACCGCTTTGCGTAACAATCGAGCGGGAGGGAGCCGTGAATCTCCATCAGGCGAGCCTTGGGCCTAGTGCTGCTGTAAGTCTGGTCCGGATTTCCCAAACCCGTAACTCACCCTGAGAGGAACTTCGTCGGACCGCGCGCATGGCTGAAGATTTTTCTGGCCTTTCCCCTTTTGTTTGTCCATAGAAACCTTTTTTCCCTGGTAAACGCTGATTGGTCCTTGAATAAACATTCCAGAAGCGCCACTTCGTCGTCCGGAATTTCCTGTGTATTATGCACCGAGTCGAACACTGCAACATTTTCCAGGGCGCCCAATTCACTCCCTCGTAGTACTCCGCAAGCCTGCATATATCAATCATTCCACCGCCATTGTAGTAACCATGACAATGATCGCGTGAATAGAACCACCCGACGGTACTCGGAAGTTTTGGGAACGTGGGGCCTTGTCCTAGTCACCCCGTAGAAAGTGGAAGAATCGTGTCAAAAAATGAAAAAAGCACAGGCCAAGCATGATTAAGCAGATGGTCGAAGAATTCGCACACAATTCCACATCCGCGCCCCTCCAGGTACGGCCCATCGCGAGGTACTGGGTCTATACGGAGTAGATATAAATACCCCCTTTTGGAACGGCTTTTGGCTTCGTCCTTTTCCCACCCGTCGTGCTTTTTCAACACCCTGGTTCACCGTCGTCATCCCATTTTCAACAAGCCCATCTTAAAAAAGCCTCCCAAAAGGCCCCGATTCCATATCTTATCGTATCTCCTCCCTGCCCTCCCCCCACTTGGGATTCTTCTGAAAAATTTTCTTCCACCATCCAGTCGAGTAAGTCGCCTTGCCGTCCGGAACACATAGAAACCTATTTCGACACAAAAGTGCATCGCGGCTCATATTAGCGTAGAACAATGGCGACCGCAGAGACTATCACTTCCACCTCCGTGGCACGCCTCCAGCTCAACGGCGCGGAGACCCCCCCTAAGTCACCCGCCTCGGAGACCCCCCAGGTTACCTTCGACCCGGCCAAGCACCTGCAACACACTCCTCCCTCCAAGGTGTACACGATGAACGAGCTCGGATACCCTAACAGCCGTGGTGTTTCGCACGTTGGTGTTTCTGAGCCGTTCCCGTTGTTCTCCGAAGAGGCCGTCGAGCAGATGCGGAAGGAGGTCTTGAGCCAGGAAGTCAAGGCCAAACACGAATACTCTAGTGACCTTGCACAGAGCCAGCTAAGAGGCTTTGCTCCTGAGTGAGTATCCCTTGCCCTGCCAAGTTGGAATCCATCGTCCTTGTAGACCGGTTGATGCTAATGTCTGATTCCTCCATAAAGTTGCGCTCCTTTCGTGTACGATGCCTGGAAGAACCCCGAGACCCTTGCCATCATCTCGAAGATTGCTGGTGTTGACCTTGTGCCGGCGATGGACTTCGAAATTGGACATGTGAACCTGTCTGTCACTAGCGAGGAGGAGAAGGCTCGCGCACTCGCCTATATCAAGGAGCAGGCTGCTGCTGGCGTTAACTGGGAAGACGAGAGCCCCATTGTCGACTGGCACACCGACAGCTACCCCTTTGTTTGCGTGACCATGCTTTCGGACTGCACTGACATGGTTGGTGGCGAGACTGCCCTGAGAAAGGGTGATGGTGAGGTTACCAAGGTCCGCGGACCCCAGAGGGTAAGTTCATGAGTATCCAGGTTATCATCACGCAAGTTAACAAACCTCTTCAGGGATCCGCTGTCATCCTCCAAGGTCGTTACATCGAGCACCAGGCTCTCCGTGCCCTGGGAACTACCGAGCGTATCAGTATGGTGACTTCGTTCCGCCCTCGCTCCGCCGCAATCAAGGACGACACCGTCCTCACCACCGTCCGTGCCGTTTCCAACCTCAACGAGTTGTACCACCAGTTCGCCGAGTACCGCTTCGAGATGCTCGAGGAGCGTTGCCGCAACGTCAACCGGTATATGCGTGACCAGAAGCGTGCCAACCGTGCTTTCGACACCCGCGGTGTGAGGGACTTCATCCGTGAACAGATCGAGTTCCTTGAGCACATGGAGCGTGAAATCGTTCCTAACGAGCTTGTCAAGAAGGGTGTTATTGGCGACAGCCACTTGATCTCCGAGCACACCAAGCAGGAGCTCTCCCGGCGGCGCGGTGCTGCTGGTAGCGAGGAGTAAAATGAAAAAAGCCCCATTCGATAAGCGCTACACCCTTCCGGCATATTTCTGCGTTCTTGCATTTTCATTATCCCCTGTTTTTGCATCCCATCCATTTTCTCCATTATAGATGCCTGTTTTATTATTTCCTGATGACTGACGACTGATGATGACTGCTATCGGGCTTGCGGCTCGGATAATCGTTGCATATTGGGCCATCAATTCTCTTTCCGACTCTTTTTCTCCCTGGCGCTCAGGCAGTATCCTTTTGGCGTCTTGTCGCATGGGAAATGGCCGTTCAATGTATTTACTGAAATAGATAATGTGCGAAGTAGATAATTGAAAAAAGTCGTTGATTTTGTAACAAAAACCCGTTTCATTTGTTGTATCTTCCGAAATTGATTGCTGACTGACCCTAAAAGCTGAACATAAATCCTGTGGTATATCAAGAAGATGATCGGATATGCCGTTGAGGCATTCCGTTGGCAATTAGCAAATGAACAATCTTCTTCGCGAGGAAGAGAAGACTGTAACCTATCTGCTTAGCACACCGGCGTACTGCCAGGATCTCCCAGGTCTATATAAAAACGAGTGTCCAGATGTCTTACCAGCCAGAACCACATAGCTGGAGATAGAGGTTGAACGACAGAAGACGACGATGCTGAAGACGACACTGACTACCTATGAACTAAGGTGATGATCTGAGCGGATGATCAGTTAATTCGAGGCAGGCCTCAAGGATCCGAGATAAAAGAATGATGGTCGGTTCGGTCAGCGAGGAGATGAGGGGCAGCCAAAGCCAGCTCGAACCGCAGCAAGAGACCTTGCATCCAGTTAATATATCCCCCCTCCTCTTGCAGATATACAACGGAGCGATAAAAACCTGCATCGAACCACCGCACGGTTAGGAGCCAGACCATCGATACCACCATATAGTCAAACTAACGCCACCATTCCTCCACACTGTTATAGCTGCAAGAAAGACCAATAATAACGTAAGCGAAATAATATGCATGCATGGCGACTACCCAGCGAGCCTCGTGCGTCAATTTCGGCCCATAGCAAAAGTACGCTGTCGGCTATTGCTGGTCAGAAACGTTAAAAAGACGAGTTAGTGAAAGTGTCAGCTGTCTGAGGAGCCCCCGAAACATGCTGAAAAGCAAGGTGAGTGAGCAAGCAACAATTAGTCGTCTATTCTGGTAGTACTCGGTTGAAAGGAGTCCTGATCACTGTATGGAGTAGACCAAAGTAGCATTAGAAGGATGATGGATAGGTTCCATACCAGATTCCTCCTCTTAAACCCCAACGCTCACAAAAAATCCCTTTGCGAACAGTAATTAGTAGTCTTGGAGAAAGGGGATTCTGAGAGACGGAAGAAAGAAAGGAGAAGAGAGGAAAAGAGGAGAACAAATGGATATTATTTCCCTGTTTTACTTTTCCGTTTCCCGAGGTCGACGCGGGAGTTTACCGCGGAGGTCACCTGTTCCTCATGTTTGCACTGTTTGTAGTGTTTATTTAGTTTGTCCACAAAGAAAGAAAGTCATGTTCACGTCGCCCGACACGACTACTCTCCCCAAGACGTGGGTGTCACTGTTACGGCGCTTGCTCGACGATTGTCAAGTCTCTCCTTTCGTTTACCTAACTTTCCTGACTTCATTCATTCGCGTTACTTCGCTACAGTCTCTGCAGTTCTTCAGTGGGCTGCTCCGGCATGCCCGACGTGACTTTGATTGATCCGAACCATTCACATCTATACTCGGCCCAGTGCGGCTGATTTTTCCCTTCGGATATTTTCTTTCGAGAACGATCCTTCGTTGAGCCTACCAAATGCCCAAACCAACGAGCTCCAAAACTGCCATAAGCGCAAATGCAAATGGCACGCCAACTACGAAGAACTTGGAGGTAGAGTCCGGAGTAAGTTGGATCTTTTGTATCAGGGTTTGGGGTATTAAATCTGTGTGCAGTCGCTGACATTTCATTCATAGCTCCTCCAAACATTACAGGGACACGTGGACGACCTGCGGCCGTTTATACAATGTGGAATTTGCATTAGACCGTTATACGAACCTTTCACTCTCGCCTGCGGACATACTTTCTGTTACACCGTCAGTTCCCTTCTGCTTGACACTTTTGCTTGATGGTTATGTCTCTGACACTCACTAGTGTTTGACATCGTGGTTTTCCGAAGGAAGGTCGAATAAAACATGTCCAGACTGTCGAACCCCGGTTGTAGCACAGCCGGCGCCGGCTTATTTGGTATGTCTATAGAAATAGACGTTCGAGGGGTTATGTTTAACATCATCTAGGTTCGTGCAATAGTACAGTCATGGATGAGCCGCGCCGAACTTCTTGAAAAGGGAGAGACCACCGCAGATCACGTCAAGAACCAACGCGAAGAATCCGACAAGGTTGACCAGGACAAGAAGAACGAGCATCCACGGGAGGGGGGGTTATTCCGGGGCGCATTCAGACACCCGCCAATTACGCAGCCTATTGTCGACCTTGAAGACAACGTTATCCGCTGTCCACAATGCGGCTGGGAACTTGAAGATGATGTTGAGTGCGGACACTGCGGATACATTGGAGATTTAGATTCTGATGCGGGTGATTCACAATGGAGTGGCACAGAGGAAAATTCGGAAATGGCCGATTTTTTTGAAGAAGAAGCCCAGGATGATTTCGACGGCGCCGATGCCTTCCATGGCGACCATGGAATATTCGCCTCTTTTTTCCCCCCTGGATCTTTCAGTCGTCCTTCTGGATCTCTCGGCTGGCGTAATACACGGGTAATTGGCGACAGTGAAGACGAAGATCCGGAATTACGCAATGAGTACGATGATACGGACATGGAATCTTTTATCGACGATGATGAGCATGTCGAGTACGATACTGGATCAGACCCGACCACAGTGGTTGGCGGTCATGGGTTCAACACACAGGTCTACAATAGTCAGGATCATAGCGCACAAGATCACGATTCGCATACGGGTTCCGAAATTCCGATGACTCAGGAAGATGGATATGCCAGCTTCTCCTCCATGGACGAGGGTTCAGAAGACGATGACAGCGGTAATGGCGACGAAGAAGAAGAAGAGGAAGAGGAAGAAGAAGAAGATGATGATGATGATGATGACGATGACGATGATCCCATCCGGCCACCTGTGACTGGACTCCGACGACTAGTTCCAGGGCCAAACGGCACTTTGAGGAGAGGTACTGACGTGAGAGGGCGTCTTGGGAGTAACCAGCGCAGCACGCGTTCTAACACGGCGGGGTCATCGGCTCACAATACAATTGATATTTCGGACGACAGTAAAGATTCCGACAGTTTCAATGATCCTGACGACTCTGACGACTCTGACGAAGGGCCAGTGGCACCGTCCAGAAGGACAAGGGGTCGAATCAACGGAGCCTATTGATCTCTCGAGTCCATTACCTTTAGCGGATCGATTTCGCACTTCAAGTGTACGACCGCTCCACTAACGAAGATTATAGAGTTTTACGATGATTGGTTTGGTCATGATTGCTGGCAGTGGGCCTCTGCGATTCGTTCTTTTATTCATTTTCTTTGGGATTCAGCAATACGGCGCTCGGGTATGGCTTATAGAAAACAGCAATTCGGCAGACATTATGATTTTAAGAAAACTTCACACAAATACCCCTCTTTGCATTGTTTTGGAATTGGAGTCTCAGCGAGGAATCATGGTTGCTTTCATGGAATGTACTTTATGGCGTTAATCCGAGACTATCGGTAGGCGAAAAGCCTTGGTTTCAATATATTATTAATAGATAGTGCATCATTGGACATGCTTGGTAGCGTTTACCACACCATCTAGATCTTACCAACCGTACAGCGTTTTCGGGTTCGAGACCATCATAAGATGCCATTCTTCAGTCGACAACCACGACCGTAGACTCTTCAACCACGCCAAATCATCAACGACCAGGTACTCTGTCTCGCGCAACGCTTCCTCGCGCGTCCGCACTTTCATATGCGGCGTATGCGGCCTTTCCAGTTAGCACCACTCCCAACATCACGAAAATAGTGAAAAAAAAAAAAAAAAAAAAAAAAAAAAAAAAAAAAAAAAAAAACATACCAATCACTCCCCCAAAGAATCCGCTCCGGGTTCGCCTCCACAAAAGCCCTCACCACCGGCCTCAAATCCTCGTACCCCGGCGCCAGACTACTCACCCGATATGGCGCACTAAGCTTGATGTAAAGATGTCCGGCACAGACTAACTCCAATATCTCCCTGAACCCAGGCTGCTGTGTCACATCCACCTTCCCATTCTCCGAATTGATGTTAAGCATGCTACCCCCCTTAAGTAACGCAAAGTGGTCAGTCACCAACGCAATCCCCGCTGGCACCAAGACCTCTTCCACGATAGGGCTGAGTTCGCCCCAAAACTCAGGATGCGTATGTGTAAACGCCAGACTCCACCGCTTCGCATCAATATGGCCTCGAATAGCGCGTGCATGTTCCCGTAGCGCGGTCTTTTGACTCTCCACATCATGCATCGCTTGGTACTTGTACAGATTCACGCGTATGCCGCGCACACCAGCAGCATGCATAGCACTCAACTCATCACCCGTTACAGTGGATGGATCGATAACGCCAACGCCCCTTGTAGCCGGCGCGGTGGTGTTGAGTTCTGCGACGAAGGATTTTAGGGAGGTGCAGTCTGCGCCGTAGGAGAGGCCGTGGGTTAGGACGGAGTTTGTGATACCGAGGCGGGATTTGAAGACGAGAAATTGGGGGATTGTTGCGGGGGGTGGGGTTAGGTGGCGGTCGGGGGCGTAAGTGAATTTCTTTGCTGTAATTATTCAGTATTGCTATCAAGGGAGGTTGTATGGGTATGGCGTACGGTCAAAGATGTGGTGATGGACGTCCCATCCTCCATTGGGGAAGAGGTCGGAGGCGATGGTGTTGGTGTATGCGATGGTCATTTTGACTGAAGTCGATGTTTACTTGATCGCATCTTGCATGCGAGTCCCTAATATTATATGTATTGCGTACTACATACTCGCTCACTTCGGCAATCTATGTTCTCGTCTCATGATGTTGGGGTTATCCCCTCACGGAGCGCTCCGGGCACTCCACGACGGTTTCGGAACGTTCCTAGTCAGCCATGAGCGACTAAGTCGGATGAAGATGGTTGGTTAGAAGAGGCATGTTATTCCGAAGTGCGTCTTGATTGCCAATATAAGCTATATTATCTGGTTTGTTTAGTATAAATGTCGTATACTGCCAATTGGTCGGATCGGGCATGCCCTAAACTTGACATCTCTACGTGATATATGGTATAATGTCCTCAAAAAAATGCAGTCTCATCGTGGCAATTAATCATTGCCGGCGGTGCTGCCGGTGGTGTGGAGAGTCTCCCTACGGTCTGGACCTGGTGTCACCTTTGCAGACTGTCAAAGCTGACTATATCAGTATCCCACGGAATACCTCGAAACCCGCCAACAGCTATTTCAAGAGAACGGCACGACCGTCCGCCAATCGCCCCTCCGGTTATTGACGAGTACTTTTCGACAAGATGGGCTTTCCCGGTTATACACTGGAAGTCTAGCTTTCTGTATCTCCAACGCATCCAACTCCGGGGTTCGATTCGTGACATTTGATACCGTCTCGCGCTTTATGCCCACTGAAACCGTTTCTGGGAAAACGAAGACAACCCTCCTAGGTAACCTAGGAGCCGGGTTGCTGGCAGGTATTGCGGAAAGCGTACTCGTTGTCACACCCGGGGAGACACTGAAGACCAAGATCATCGATGACCAGGCCGGCCCGTGAGTGTACCGTTCTACCACTCACGCAATTCGGACTTGTCTTGCGCAAGAGGGTGTGTCTGGGCTATACCGCGGTGTGATACCAGTGACGCTGAAACAATCAGCTAATGTGATGGTGCGGTTTACCAGTTATCGGTTCTTCCTTGGGCAGATGGATGCCATATTTTCCAGAGATAATGCCGGTGCTCTCCAGTCCATGAACACGGTGATCGCGGGTGCACTAGCAGGTGTGGTAACTGTTTATGCAACAATACCATTCGATACGATCAAGTCCAAGACACACTTGTTACAGTTTAACTTATAGAACAAATAGGATCTTTCCTGAGACTAGATCAGTCATGTCCACATAAATTGAGGCCCGTTCTCTGTTGGATACAACATCCTATCAGTCAAGGCAGACAAGTGGAGGGGAAAATATCAGCCACGCCAATCACCTCAGCGCTCTCTAGTTACCAATCCCATCTTCTTCAGGCCTTAACGTGGCTGAATCTTAGTTATGCTAATTTGCCATTTCTACGGCTATTGGCCTCTCGCCAATTTACCGAGTCAGGTTTCGACCACCCCCACCGGGGATTGACATTTGGTTTGCCGAACTTCGTTAGTATGCATCCGTCAGGATTCAACACTATGCTAGTTCGGGCCGTAGATTCAACATTGTCAAGCAGCACACGCCAATGGGAAGAATTGAACTGGTGCCGGATACGGGCTGTTGGCTTATCAACGCCGGTTCTGGCGGTGCAAAAAGACAACGCTAAAAAAAGTGTGATTGTGAATGACTGTGTGCTTTCGGAGTCTCGGCGTTGCTGAGCTGTTTATATTTGATTGAGCCTCATCTCCTTTTTGCCAAGTCTCGTGTTTCTATTCTCTTCTTACTCCGTACAGTGTGCATCTCCCGGTGGTCTGGGTACTGGCTCCAATTTCGATATCCGACTTGGATGTTCAACTAGACGGGATTAAACACACCACGGTCCAAGATGTCAGCCACTAGTACAACCAGCAGTAGCACCTCAACGACCACAATTCCCCTGACTACCGTCTTCACACCACCAACACAATGCGCGACTGATTGGCAGTACGAACCGTCCGCCTACAACGACAAACTAAATGGCTTGCTGTTGCAAAATGTCGTCTCGGTTGTCAGTTCCTGTTTCCCGACCGGGTTCGCCATGTCGGGAAGAGCCCAAGTACCCCAGGTCTACAGCCCGGGTTGGTGTCCAGTGGGCTACACCTCCGCGGATGTACACATTGACGGGAAGACCACTTCGGCCGTTTGCTGTTACTCGTACGTGAAGTCTTTGTCTGTTATGCACTCGAACGACGCTAACAGTTCCTCGCAGAGACTATTCGTATTATACCTCGACAATGTTATATTCCGACTTGCCCTCGGCCATCTACGCAGGATGTCTCAGCACTCTCCCATCGTCTAGCTCCACCATCGTCTCCGTCCGCGATCCAAAGTCGAACCAAGGAACACAGGTCTCGGGACCATTGACCATGTGGGCACAACCCATCTCCATCCAACTCCAAGCAACAGACTCTAGCTTGTTCGTATCCGCAACCACCACGGGTGCCGACCCACCCAGCACCGACACCGGAGCAACCGCAACATCGACCTCAGACTCAGCCGCATCAGATTCCGGGTCAAGCGGCCTATCGACAGGAGGGAAGATCGGTGTTGGCGTTGGTGTCGGTGTCGGCGCCCTCGCCATCTTTGCTCTGCTCGCATTTTGGTTCCTCCGCCGTCGCGCTGTCAGCAAGAAGAACGCCGCTCCTGATATGGCAGCAGCTGCCGCACCTGCAAACACGCATCCTTATCCAAGCCAAGGCGCAGCGCCTTATTACGGTCCTGTTCCTGCTGCTAGGTCGGAATTAGAGAATACGTCCACGAAATTCACGCCGCAGCCACCGCCGGCTGAGTTGCAAGGAGACAACAGGAGACATAACCACATTGCAGAGCTTTCTGGATGATTGAGTTTTACATTATGTATATATACCCATGTTTCTGAGTTTCTTTCTCGTGTCAAGCTCTATTATCCTGTAATAATTAATGTCATGTACATACGTTAGAATGATTGCATTGGGCGCTTCTCACTGGCAATAGCTCACTTGACCAATTGAGGACCTGTATTATCATCGGCAAGCTCTGCCGGGATTTAGTAGAAGAGATGTAGCCAAGATATTGAGGGCAACTGTCAGACAAACCATACCACATGCACAACCAGTGAGAAGGCATAAAATTGTGCATACATAAATACACTATGCATAGATGCCAAGCTTCTCCACAAACGCAGGTGCCCATCGCGTACTTCTCCATATTCGACATTACTTACGATACCTACCAACACAAGCGTCCTCACCACCAGTTAGAACGGTGATGGATCCTCCAGGTACTGGACCACAGCATGCAAAGAAGGTCCGCGTAGCTTGTTGCAGATGCCGAGCCAAACGTGTCAAGGTACGGCCAATGTGTTATGTCATGTTGGATACTACTAACATCAAGAACAGTGTGATGGAAGTCTCCCGGCCTGTGGGAATTGTGCGCGTGCAAATGTTTCCTGTGTCGATGTGGACTCTCGGAATAATGACCTGCCTATACCGCGCGAGTGAGTATCTGGCATAATCTGTTGCAAAAGCATCTCTGATATACGAAACAGTTATATCGTCAAATGCTGCTCGCGTATCAAGTGGCTTGAGCAAAAAATCCGGGTTCTAGATCCAAGTTTCGACTTGACCAAAGGTCCCCAGATAGATACGGATCCCTTTGAGGGTCTATCGCTGCCATGGCCGTCGTATCAAAGCCCCGGAAGCGCAGCCAGTGATACTCCACTGCGTGCAGCTTCTTTGAATACAGAAGTGGCTAGCACAGTAGCAGGACCTGCTACAGGGAAGCGATCCCATGCTTCGATGGAAGAATTAGAGATTGAACGGCCTCCGTTAGTCGAAGCACGCACCGTGGCCATGGATTTGGGGATGCTCTCGCTGCAATCCGACTCAAGGCAGAAGCATTATCTCGGGTCATCTTCAGGACTGCTTTTTATGAAGCTGATCGGAGCTGGCGAGGCGCCTGGGCCGGCTCCGCCTCCTGCAACGCGCCGACTACGTCGTATGGCATCTCCGAATCGTCCGAGTGAGGTGTATCATTCGCTTTATACGGGTCTAGAACGGGAGCTTCCCTCCCCTGAAGACGCGGATCAGTTACTAGCAGTTTACTTTCAGTATATTCAAATCGACCACCCATTTCTTTATCCGACTTCGTTGATTAACGCTTATAATGCATTGCATGCTTGTGCTCAGCGTGGGTATGATCCCGGACGACTAGATCAAAATGGCTGGCTCCGAGATATCAAACCCTTTCCTTACAATGGCAAGATGGATGTCTTGGATGGTCATGAATGTACACCCATTTCAATCTCTTTTGCTGTATTCCACGTCTTCATGGTGTTTTCTCTCGCAGCGACTGTTCTCACACGGAAGAAGAACTTTGATTACCCCCCGATACGATTCTATCGCATGGCAATGCTTGCGGCTTCGGAGTGCTTCTCCAACATCTCGGTTCCGGCGTTACAAGGGATCTTGCTACTGGCTATTCAGGGCATGACTGAACCTGCTGGCCTTAATATCTGGACTTTGGTACATATTGCCATGTCGCATTGTGTTGACTTGGGTTTGCATCGTGAACCGAATAACCCATCTGATCTCCCACCTGTTGCTCTTGCGGTCCGTAGGCTTATATTCTACACTGTCTATTCACTCGATCGGTAGTTACACCCCTCAGATAATCCATCAACGAGCGCGGGCATGCTGACACTATCTAGGTCCATTTCAACAATCCAAGGTCGTCCGCTAGGGATTCGAGACGAAACCTTCGATGTACGACGGCCGACGATGGATGACCTGGCGAGCAATGATACTCCAGTTACAACTGACGGTGACCTGAATTTGCATCTACCGTCAGCGGAGTATCTGGCGTTTACCGTCCGCCGCTTTCAACTGGACCTATACATTTCGGAAATAAAGCTCTTATTCTACCATCTGCCTTCGCAGGTAAACAGCATTATCTGGCCTACAGATCTCGACAAGATCCAACAACGCATCAAATCAGATCTCGATAAGTGGCTAAATGATTCATCGAGTGCCGTGCCAAGGATGGACACAGAAGAATCTCTGATTCTCCACTGCGAGAACCTCAAGCTTGAGTTACAATACCACGCAGCAATTACCTTACTCTACCAGCCATCACAAGTCTTTCGCTCGCCAACTCAACAAGCCCTGTCTTTATGTTACCAAAGCTCAAGCCGACGACTACGCATCTACAACTACCTGAACAATAAAGAACAGTTATACTACAGCTGGCGCAACATCCATGGAATCTTCTCCTCGGGTGCTACAATCATTTACTGCATATGGGCATCTCGCAATCTCCAAACTACGATCCCTTTTGATGATGCCTTGCGAAATCTTCGAACGTGCTCAAATCTACTCAGTATTGGTGGTCAATGGTGGCCTTCTGTGCGCAAAGGCAAGGAGAGTTTTGAGAAGGTCATGGATCTTACTATAAAGGGATTACGAAACTTGGAGAGTCGTACCATATCGGCAACTCCAATAACCGGGACATATCACCCCGCGCCATCATCATTTGCCTCAAATTTAGAGCCCGTGGCACCCCAAAGCCAAATAGAGCCATCGGTGCAGTTCTCGGGTTCTCGGGATGCTGGAGCTCATAATGCCATGTGTGAGTCGCGATCTTACTCATTGTTTGGTATGTCCTTCTTATGCTAATTATCAATTTACAACAAGTACACGGGTTCGAATTGTCAATTGGCAATGTTGACCATTCCACATTACTTGGTGATGGCTTGTCGGCAGACGGTCCTGAAGTTCTTGCCATTGACCCTGCGATGGAGCATTTCTTGTCTGAATATCTGCAGGGTGACTGGGGTTGGGATCCGTTTTCTGGGTCTGTAAGTACTTGGCATCTACGAGAGCACAGGCTCTGCTATCTCGATTGAGATTGACTGATAATTTCAATGTCTAGTAACGCACCACTTACCATGTTTAAAAGGAAATAGAAATCCCAGACGGTATACTCTTTGATAGGGATTATGTTTTGCATTTGTGACTACTGTATATCAACTACTTCCTCAACCTCTTGATAGTAAGGCCCATTGGTTCTCCTTGCTCCAAGCACCGCCGTGTCTCTTCATCGATGTCATATCGTTCCTGGCAGAGATGCACACACTCTTCTATTTTTCCTTCAGGCACGACTACGACTCCGTCCGCATCACCCATGATATAGTCGCCAGGCCGAACGGTGACTTCTCCACCAATCTCCACATTCTCATACGACACGGAGATATTCAACTCGGATGAACGCGTGAAGGTATTCGATCCAAGAATACTAACCCCACGTGCAAAAAGACCCATTCCCAGCTTGCGGTGCTCAGCAATATCCCGGAAACGACCATCAATCACGATTCCTGCAGCTCCAAGTGCTCGCGCACGAGTGCTCATGAGTCCTCCCCAACAAGCACTGATGAGCCCTTTTGGCTGGGAGACGAAGACAACCGCGTCTTTGGGGATGGAGTCGGCGAAATGGGTTGGTGGCGTTGGGGAGGTTTTGTCTGCGGCGGCCACCATGCGCACTGTATATGCAGGACCGAAGATTTTGTGGTTCGGGGCAAGAAGACCTGGGGAGAACATCTTGAGGCCGGATAGGTAACCGCCATGGGGGACTTTGAGCTTGACGAGTGCATCTCCGATCTTGATTGATTGTATGTCAGCTACCTGTCATTCTCCTTGCGTTTCTGGTGGCTTGAAAGACTCACGTCACAAGAGGCAAACCCCCGGAGGGCTTTTACAAATCTCGACGGCACAGCCATTGCTATGATGTATGAGTATAGGAGCTTCTCCTGGTGAGTGATTAAGGATGACAGAAGACATCGCATATATCAGCCTTCCTCCGACAACGCAATCATCTCCGGTCGTCGCACTGTCTCATGATGAAGTGGGAGATCCCTGGACCGCATTGCCGATGAAAATACCCTCTCCATAGACCGTACTCCGCATTTCCCTCTGGGTGCCTCCGCGTTTCACCCCGGAGCGCTCCGGTGGACTAGTCCAGGGGGGGGGCTCTCGGAACGTTCCATTCCCCATCGGATAGATCCTAAGAGGTTTCCACCAACAGTATCGCGTCAAACATAATTATCCGAGGCAAGATGTCGATTTTCTTGAGATCTGGAACCGAAGTCGCCAGGACGAAGTCGGCGGTGATCGCCAATGGTTTTCTGCGCGTGAATTTGTCGCATTTCACTTTGACTAGTCCTATATCCTAATCAAACTACTATCCTATGCAATCAGTGACGAGCTTGCAAAATGCGCAGATATCTCTCTCAGTCAGTGCGGACAGCGCGGCCAGGCCAATGTTTGAATAACGTCGTCACTGTCAGACGGTTTGCGACACATGAGAACCAGCCTCAGGTACGTACTTAATTTCTATTGGCGCAGAAATCTTTGTGAATGAATATTGACAAGACCCCGAACAAGATTCTCGGCGTGAATTATGGCAAACAGACCTACAACCTCGATGCGTTGAAGCAGGGTTCGAAACGACCCTTAACCCTAACTGAGAAACTGCTCTACAGCCACCTCATAACAAACAGAGACCGTTCCTGGTCACTAGAAGCCATTGAACGAGGGAAGACGATCTTGGAACTACGGCCAGACCGCGTTGCTTGCCACGATGCCACCGCGACCATGGCTTTGTTACAGTTCATCAGCGCAGGGCTCCCAAAGGTTGCGGTACCGACGACCGTACATAGCGATCACTTGATTATCTCTGAGAAAGGTGCGGATGAAGATATGCGACGGGCTTTGGGTGAGCATGCGGAAGTATATGACTTTCTGAGTAGCGCTTCTAAGAAGTATGGGATTGGGTTCTGGAAACCGGGATCGGGGATTATTCATACAGTCATTTTTGAAAACTATGCTGTGTATGCTGTTCAACTTCCGTGTCATGGTGGATTATCTAGAAGCTGACTCTTCGGTAACTATCAAGACCAGGTGGGTTGATCATCGGAACCGACTCGCATACTCCCAACGCCGGGGGAATGGGCATGCTCGGGATCGGGGTTGGAGGGGCCGATGCAGTAGATGCCATGTCCGGAATGCCGTGGGAATTGGTAGCGCCAAAGGTTGTTGGAGTCCGTCTTACAGGCCAACTCCAAGGCTGGACATCGACGAAAGACATCATCTGCAAGCTTGCTGGAATCCTCGGTGTGTCTGGCGGGAAAGGACGCGTGATTGAGTTTTTCGGGCCGGGAACTGAAACCCTGGGCGCGACGGCTATGGCGACTATCTGTAATATGTCTGCTGAGATTGGGTCAACGTCGTGTATTTTTCCTCACTCGGAGGCTATTGCGCGGTATCTCTCGGCGACTGGTCGTGCTTATGCTGCTGGCGCGGCGAATGTGGTTAAGGATGTCCTTCTGACGGCAGATGAAGGATCTGACAACTACTATGATCAGGTCATCGAGATCGACTTAAACGAACTTGAACCTCACGTCAACGGGCCATTCACGCCAGATCTCGCACACCCAATTTCCCAACTGAAGTCAGTAGTGTTAGATAGCGACTGGCCAAAGGAATTGAGCCACGCCATGGTGGGCAGCTGCACCAACAGCTCTTACGAGGACCTGGACAAAGCTCGTCAACTAGTCCGCCAGGCCCGTGCCGCAGGACTAACCAACTTCAAAACACCTTTCCTCTTGACCCCGGGAAGCGAGAAGATCCGTGCAACTGCCGAAGCAGATGGGATTTTCGAGGAGCTCCAGGATGCCGGGGCTGTCGTGCTCAGCAGTTCCTGCGGTCCTTGTGTTGGGTCCTGGGATCGGAGAGATGTTGACGTGCGTGGGAAGGAGAAGAACTCGGTTATCTCCAGTTTCAACCGTAACTTTGTTGGCCGACATGACAGTAACCCTGCTACTCATTCGTTCGTTACATCGCCTGAATTGGTCACGGCCTTCGCATATGCGGGTCGTCTTGATTTCAACCCTATCACTGATAAAATTCCTCAGGAAGGAACTCAAGAGCCCTTTCAGTTCAACCCTCCTGTTGGTCGCGAGCTTCCCCTTGATTTCAAGACTGGTGCGCAAACCTTCCAAGAGCCACTGGCAGATGGTTCCTCCGAATCCGTCATCGTTGACCCCCAATCCGACCGCCTTCAACTCCTGACGCCCTTCCCAGCCTGGCAGACCGGATGCGCAGATGATATGCAACTCCTCATCAAAGTCCAGGGGAAATGCACAACCGACCACATATCCCCCGCTGGTCCTTGGTACAAATATCGCGGCCACCTCGAGAATATCAGCAACAATATGCTCACAACAGCCACAAACGCTTACCTTCCCAGCGACCCGCAGATGCTGGGACACACCAGACACCCCCTAACCTCTGAAGTTAGCGTCGTACCCGAAGTCGCTCGCGACTTACAGCAAAGAGGCATCCACTGGTGTATCATCGGCGACCACAACTACGGAGAAGGTTCCTCCCGCGAACACGCTGCCCTAGAACCACGGTATCTAGGCGGCGTGGCGATCATCGCTCGCTCATTTGCGCGTATCCACGAGACGAACCTGAAAAAGCAGGGCATGTTGCCGCTTACTTTTGACGATGTTGCTGATTATGATAGAATCCAGGATGGGGATCGGATCCGGTTGATTGGGGTGGAAAAGAGTGAGTTGCAGCCTGGGAGACAGATTACGATGAGGGTTACTCCAAGGGAGGGAGAGGCTTGGGAGGCGAGGTTGAATCATAGCTATCATAGTGGGCAAATTCAGTGGCTGAAGGCGGGGAGTGCACTGAATTATATTAAGATTAGGGCGAGGTAGGTGCGTAGTAGAGTGATAGAGATAAATGCATTTTTATTCTGTCTTCAGTGCACTTTTTGTTTTGGTATGCATATATCGGTCTGCTGTACCCATACACGGTGCCCCTAACCACGTTTAAATGCAAATTTACAAGCACAGCAGTTTTAGAATATTATATAAATAGCTCTAGCTGTATTACTGAATGCAAAGCCATGGCTTTTGCGGTGACTACCCAAGAAGATTAACCTATTCTCAAATGGTGGAAGCAAGCCAACATTCCTTCCCCGGTGTGATTTCAGTGATTCCATTAAGTAAATACCTGCCATACCCCACAAAGCTTAGTCCCTCTCCAGCCAACGATTACAAGTCACAGTCGATAATCAGCAATTTAGCCCGGGGCACTCCAGAACCCCGGACTACTCCATGACATGCCATCGACGGCTCTGAGGTGACGCAACTCCACCTCTTCGGATCTATCCAGGCTTCGTATGTCTGCACTCAGTGTCGATTACCACCCTTGTGCTCGCTTCTCGGTTGACTGTCTGTCTTGTAGCGTAGCGCATGGGCCTGTACAGGAGGACTACCGGGAATCAGAATGCGTCTAGCTGGGGTTGGAAGGAACGCCAGGTTCTGGAGAAAATATTTAAGGGTCTCATTGCCGTACCCTCAATCTGCATTCATTATCCAGCCGCCAAGCTTGACCTCTGCACTCCAGATTCTCGTTTCTTGGCTGTATTGTTTATATTAGTTCCAGCGTCGTGTTATTTCCATTTTTGACTACATTGGCATTCGACAATGGGCGCCGGCGGCGGCGGTCTTTCCAAAGATGCTTTGCAGCGTGTCCCTCTCCCTGCGAGAAAGCCATATATCTGGCTGGCGACGATTTGGGCATCCTATTGTGGAGGGCTGCATGGGTTTAATACGGCAAATATCTCAGGGGCGATGAAGCTTGACCCGTTTGTGAAGGAGTTTGGATGGACGGATATTCCTGCTGATACCGAATCCAATCACAAGGGGTGGGTTGTGTCGTCTATGATATTAGTTTGTGCCCCTGCTTGTATTGGCTTTGAGGTTGGGATAAATGCTAATGCTCTCTTGTTTTCTTGGATAGGGCCAAGTTCTCGGGGTTATTATCGCAGGTCCTCTCGGCGAACGACGCGGACGCAAGCCAGTTATCCTCTTTTCGGCTATTTTCTATACAATTGGGTCCATTCTCATGGCTGCCAACTTCGGGTCCTTGTCTGAACTGCTTGTCGGGAGAATTCTGTCCGGAATAGGCTCTGGTTCTGGAATGTCAGTCGGCCCTATCTACATATCAGAAGTAGCTCCACTGGAGCTTCGAGGAATGATGACAACATTCTACAATGTGAATATCATGGCTGGCGTTGCAGGAAGTTACTGGATAAACTACGCTTCCCAGTCCGTCATATCAGCAGAATCCAACTGGCAATGGCGAGCCACTATGATCCTACAGCTAATCCCAGCCATCATGCTATTTTTGGGCCTGCCATTCTTCCCCGAAAGTCCCCGATACCTAATGATGCGCGGCCGCCTCGAAGCAGCCAAAACCAGCCTCTCTCGACTTCGCGGCGGCCTCGATGAGAACACCGAGTACTTCGCCAGAGAAATGGCCGAGCTCCGCGCTAAAATGTCCGCCAATGCTGAATCCCAGGGTGCCTGGGACAACACAAAATCCTTAATGAAGCTCTGCACCCACCACCCCCCGACCCGCAAGGTCGTCCTTTTCGTAACCCTAATTCAGCTGTTCTTCATCTTTTCCGGCGGAAATTCCATCACTTATTATGCACCCACGATTCTCCAGTCCATCGGCCTTAACGATCGCCAGGTCCTCCTCTTCACGGCCATCTACGGCTGCATCAAACTAGCCTCTGTCTTTTTATATGCCTTTGCATTAACAGACCGTTTCGGCCGCCGCCCCCTCCTCCTCATCGGCTCAATAACAAACCTCATCTGCCTAATCTACCTCGCCGCCTTCCTAGGCACAACAGACATATCGTCTTCCACCTCCCCCTCCCCCTCCCCAGCAGCATGGGTCGCCATCGTAGCAATCTGCATCTTCGCAATCGGTTACGGCTTCGGCTGGGCACCCGCATTCTCACTCACAGCATCCGAGATCTGTCCCACAAGTATACGAGGAACAGTAGTAGGCATCGCGTTCATATTCCAGAATCTGCTGAACTTTGGAATCACACGCGGATTTCCGAATATGACGCTGAGTATGCATGCGTATGGGCCGTTTGCGTTATTTGCGGCATTTACGTTTGTCGGGACGGTTTGGGTCTTCTTTGCATTTCCGGAGTGTAAGGGGAGGAGTATGGAGGGGACAGATGAGTTGTTTTCGTTGCCGTGGTGGAGGATTGGGTTTGCGAGGGTTCCCGAGGGAGGGGTGGGCGGTGACTTTGTGGGTAAGGAAGTTGAGGGTGAGGGTGAGGTTGATTTGGAGAGGCAGTTGTCTGAGAAGTTGAAGGATGAGAGGATTGAGAATGTGGAGGTTAGTCGGAGGTAGATGTTTATTTGCTTTTTGCTTTGTATGGTTTCGGGATTTCTATGTTATGAATAGGATATGACCACTGATATTTGAATGGATCTGGATGATACGCCTGGTTAATTCCAATGCACCCTGTTAGGGCTAACTACGTTTGTCATGTGACTGTAGATGGTTTGAACATAGTGACATCGAGCTATCCAAGCATATATACATACATGCAACATACAATTCCAACGCCGGATAAACATGAGAAGCCCCCTTTTTATTATGCACATAAACGATACACTCCTCTTTATTCTATTAGTTGGGAGGCTACGAAGAGGCCTTCTTCGTCTGGAAAGCCGTGAACGGAACTTCAAACACCACAGCACCATTCCGGCCTTCAGGAGTAGGACCATCCTGGAAATTGTTGTTGTAGCATTTCCAGCGGCCGAGCCGGTGTTCTTTCCCGATGGCAGCGACAATACACAGGCCTTTTGTCTCGGGTTCCTTCGACTTGGACTTGGATTTCGACTCGAGAGGTTGGTCTGGTCTGGCGGTGTCACCCCGGCGTTCGAAGACGGCAATGTCGTTGATGACGCCCTTGATGAGCGGTTCGGCTTCCTTCGCGGCACTTGACTGCGATACGGGGGCGTTATCAACTGCCATGTTGTCGTCCTCGGTCGTGGCATCGAATGCGAGATTCTGTTTCAGTTGGAAAGAGGGGGTATCGGGTTCCGAGGAGGCGCTGCCTCCGACTGTGCCCAGCGGGAGGATGACCCTCTTGTCTTCTGAAATTTTCCACGCTCGGATCCAGCCGTCCCAGCTACCGCTGAGAACGATATCTGTGCCAGGGACAGTAGTCAGGGCGGTAATCCAGCGGGGCATGGGGCGGAGGTATCGAGAGTTGGTTGCAGCTGTTTGCTGATCGAGTTCCGGTGAGAGATCTTCGAGAGGAGGTATAGGGTCGAGGCCGTGAGCGAGAGGGATGACATGTAGCGGCTTCTTTTTGTGGATGGACCACAGGGCCAAAGACCCTGAGTCGGAGCCAGTGACAAAATGGCTGGGTGGGAGAGGGGCAATGCAGTCCAGATTGTTCTCATGATATGCCGCATTTCTGGAAGCTCCACCGCGGAAGACGAGCTGTGCTTCTTCCACCACCTTCCACAGTCGAGCAGTGCGGTCCCGGGCGCCGACACTGATGCACTGGTCGATGGTCATGGCCGCCAGCGAAGATACATTGTCTTGGTGACCAAAAAGAGTTTCCACATAAGCATGTCCAGCACTGCTCACAGACCATGTCTTGATTGTACGGTCATACGATCCAGAGAACAACTGTTCGCCCGAGCTCATGGTGGAAATGTGCCGGGCAAAGGCAAGTCCACTAACGGTGTCGCGGTGTTGCGTAAATGTCTTCAACGGTGTCAACGTCGCTGCGTCCCAGATGATCAATTTATTGTCCTCTCCACCGGTAGCCAAAAACTTCCCTGATGGCGACACAGCAAGCGACAGGATGCTCTTCGTATGGCCTTGGTCTTCACCGGTCTCCTCCACCTTTTGTACACCTCGGACGTACTTCACTTTCTTGGGCTTCTTTCGCTGCGGCCTTGGGGGTCGTTTCGAATTTTCCGACGGGATTGTAGGGCTTTCGGGAGTAGCGAGTTCCCATTTAATCAAGGTCTTATCTTTGGAAACGGTGTATACAAACGGCGAATGGATGGCAATAGAGGTAGTCGACTGAGTATCGGCACGGAAGAACGAGTGAGATGCTGACGAAAATGCCAAATCTGAAGCAATCTGGCGATATCCTCGCCCTTTGAATTCATCCTGTGCAAAGCAGTTAGTCACCTCCGTGTGGCCCAGTGGGGGGCAGACAAAACATACCACATCCTCTTTTAACCTCTCCGCAATCAAATCCCGGTCAATCTCAGCTGCATCGAAGCCAACCTCATCCACTTCATCCCGGACATTCTCCAAATATCGTTCCGCAAGCTTCAACCTCCGTTCGCCGGCCGTCTCGCCTTCGTCGTCCGAGCCACTCTCCTCCTCGGACACTGATGCCGCGTTGGCCTCATCATCATCAATGTCGCTCCCCGAGACGGACTCGTCTCTCTGTTGTCTTGCGCCTTGACCCTTAGCGCCGGAATCGCCATTTGCATCAACACCTCGCTTTTTTGACCCCGGAGCTGCGGCGCGGTCCTCCCTCTTTCGTTTTTTCTGGGAAGCGGGTACTGTAAAAAACGACGACATGGCGGGATTCAGCGATTGTGCGGTAGGAGTCACTGAGAAGAATTCGCTGCGAATAGGACGCCTCACGGGGACTCTTGCTGTTTTTTCAACTTTGATTCTTTTTCTTTTTTTTCTGCCGCTGGTCAGTGCACGTGCAGGCGGTGACCCGTTTGGACGCAGCCAGGCGCTGACTCAGCAGGACAGCTCCGCGCCCAACTTCAGCAGCTCCAGCGACCAGCTCCAGAGCAGCTTCACTTAATATTTACTGTTCTTTTCAGCTTATTACTTTCTCTCTCTTGATCTTACTACCTAAACGGACAAGCAAACATGTAAGCTTCTCTTTTGATACCTGCTCGATGATCATGGTGAGATCACTGACACCTACAGGGAGGTTCTACTTGGTATCACCGGCAAAGACTTTGTCATTCTGGCCGCCTCCAAGGCCACAATGCGCGGGCCGACAATTATCAAGGCTGAAGATGATAAGACACGGCAGTTGAACAAGAGCACCGTCATGGCTTTCTCGGGGGAGGCGGGAGACACAGGTGAGCGGAGGTCGAGATATGGTATCTTGGAGGACTACCCAAGCTAATCTATTTGTCTTGGATAGTGCAATTCGCCGAATATATCCAAGCGAATATCCAACTATACACGATGCGGAACGATGCCGAACTAAGTCCTAACGCGGTGGCCAACTTTGTCCGGGGAGAATTGGCACGGAGTTTGAGATCGCGGAGTCCTTACATGGTCAACTTGCTGCTTGGTGGAATGGATCCGATTTCACAAGAACCAAGTCTGTATTGGGTGGATTACCTCGCTTCGCTGGCTCCGGTGCCTTATGCCGCCCATGGTTACGCACAGTTCTACTGCTTGTCCATTCTCGACAAACACCACCACCCCGATATTAATCTGGAGCAAGGCTTGAAGCTCCTCGAGATGTGTACCGATGAACTGAAGCGCCGACTACCGATTGACTACAAGGGTGTACGTGCCTATCCCCATACACATTTGTTCAATGACTGACGTGGTCTTCTAGGTTTTGGTCAAGGTTATCTCGAAAGACGGCGTGAAGGAGGTAGACTTTGACAATAACCGAATCGTCACGAGCGCTTAATCGATTCCAGCGTTGTTGTATCATACCACGTTTCTCGAAACTTTCCTTTTTTTTTTACTTATTATGGGACGCTTCTTTTATGAAATCGGTTGCATGGAAGGTATTGCCATGATTTTGACGGGCATGTAATCGCCAGTTACTCAGTAGAACAAATAAAACGATATTACCGCGTGGTGTTTCTGCTGTAATAACTGTAAACTCAAGTGTCTTGATATCGTCTCTGCACTGCGTCATATTGTTGACAGTTTGCTTTGTTTGTCTTGTTTGATCTGACCGACTTGTTTGCTCTGTTTGCATCTAGCTTGCAACCGCGACTTGACGATTTCGCAACGCAGCTTTTTACTTATATCCAATCCACCACAACACAATTGCCGTCATGTCAAAACGATCAGCAGACTTACCGCTAGAAGAAGGCCAACCGGTCGGGTCTCCAGCCTCCAAAAGAGCACGCGTGGAGGACGAACTCCCCGAAGACGATCCCCGCAACGGAGCTGTGCCTGCGGAACGCGCCAACGGCCAGGACCTCGAACAACATGATCGCAACGGAGAGAATGTCTTAGCTGCGGCGGATAAGGAAGGAGAGGCGTTGAATGAAGCTGAGCGGGGTGATGAGGACGAATCGGATATCGACGAGGATGCGTCGGCCATCGCGGCCCCGAAACGGCAGTCCGAGCCTATGGAGGGATACAGTGACCTCTACCTCGATACGATCAACCGCGGGATTCTCGACTTTGATTTTGAGAAGTTGTGCTCTGTTAGCTTGTCAAATATCAATGTCTACGCTTGTTTGGTTTGCGGGAAGTACTATACGGGCAGAGGGCCCAAGTCGCATGCCTATTTCCATGCTCTTGAGGTCGGACATCACGTTTTTGTCAACATGGGAACGAAGAAGGTTTATGTGCTACCGGAGGGATATGAGGTTAAGAACCGGAGTTTGGATGACATCAAATATGTCGTGGATCCGCACTTTACGAAGGAGGATGTCTCGAAGCTAGACAGGGAGGTCCGAGATGCTTTCGATCTATCGGGACGCCGTTATAGACCAGGTACGTCTGAGAGACCATGCGCAGGGAGGAATCATACTAACACCGTTAGGTTTCGTCGGTATGAACAACATCAAAGCGAACGATTACCTGAACGTGGTGGTTCAACTTCTGGCGCATGTCCATCCTATTCGCAATTTCTTTCTTCTACACGAGTTCCCTACGCCAGGCACACCACAACTAGCACTCCGGTTCAGTACTCTCGTCCGAAAGCTTTGGAACCCCAAAGCATTCCGATCGCACGTATCGCCACACGAGCTGCTCCAGGAGATCGCATTACGGTCATCAAAGCGCTTCACGCTCACCCAGCAATCCGATCCAGTTGATTTCTTGTCCTGGTTCTTGAACAACCTGCATCTCTCCCTTGGGGGTGCGAAAAAGCCTTCGTCAACACCAACGAGTGTGGTACAGGCGGCGTTCCAAGGTCATCTCAAAATCGAAAGCCAGGCTATCACGGCGCATTCGGATACCCAGAATGCTCGTCTGGTGTTCACCGAGTCTGGCTCCATCAACAGCCAGACCACTCCCTTCCTCATTCTCACCCTTGATCTCCCACCAACTCCCCTCTTCCAGTCCTCCAACCGAGAATCAATTATCCCTCAAGTTCCTCTGACGAACCTGTTGAACAAATACAACGGTATCACCGCATCCGAAAAACTCGCACACCGTGTCCGGCACCGCCTCTTACACCCCCTCCCACCGTATCTCCTCTTTCATGTCAAGCGCTTCAGCAAAAACCGCTTCGTCTCAGAACGAAACCCCACCATCGTCACCTTCCCCTCAACCCGCTCCCTCGACATGTCTCCCTATGTAGAGCCTAACCCTTCCATTTGGCCCCCCGGGGAGCCCATTCTCTACGACCTCGTGGCAAACGTCATCCTCGACCCTACCGTCGCCGCACCCGGCGCTGGAGATGAAGCAGCTGAGAAAGGCGTCAACGCCGCTTCGGGCGTATCCTCGACTGGTGCCGGTGCCGGTACCGAGAGAGTCAACTGGCTCGTGCAGCTGCATGACAAAGCGATGGAGGCGGAGAATAAGCGGCAAACGAGCAAGCGTGGCGGTGAAGCAAAGGGACCGGAGTGGCTGGAGGTTCAGGATTTGGTTGTTAAGAGGGCGGAGAGCGAGACGCTTTTCACGAAGGAGGGGTATTTGATGGTTTGGGAGCGGAGAAAGGTTCCTGGGACGGGGAATAAGAAGGGGAAGAGGACGGCTAGGTAGATATCAAAACCAAGAGACGAGTTATTCGTGGCTATATTTTTTACTGTAATACGAAATACATACCATCTTTTCCATAAAGTTCATACAAGTGAAGCATTCACTTTATTGCGGCCAATGCTATTGATATACAGCGTAGGGCTTCCCTCAGCTTTCCACTCCTGTCGTTTCCATGCTCGCCCGGATTTTATCTTCAACCTATCAATCCTTTCTTTGTTATTCTGTATGCTGGCTTTCTAGTCCATTTTCCAGTGTCATTGAGATAGCATTGTCCTGCCTAGCCTTTTGACTCAATCGCACCAGGTTGGTGTTGCGGCACCTTTTCGGCCAACTCGTCTAGTGCCACTACGAGGACCTATCTGCAGATGTTATAAGAACTGTCTTTCAAGTTCCGTAAGCTGCCATAGAACGGCAGCATACAATGAATGGACCAAGCTCAACCCATCTGGAAGATCAAGTGGCGACAACGGACATGACATGGTGGATGCAGAAGGTCGCCATCTCTCCGCTCAAAGGAGTTGCGTGCAGGCCGTCTTGAGGAATGAGATAGAATCCAGGGTCTGGGAAGCCCAGAAGTTTGGCAAGAGCATGGAAGAATTTCTCATCTTGCTCTGCGTTAGTATCATCATCTTACCAACGGTAGTGGAGTGTGAAGAAATTCTGTTCAACATCAATAGGTTTCTCAACTGTGATGCCCAGGGCATCTCGAATTCTGCTTTTGTTAAGCTCGTGTTGACTGGAAGCGGTAGTATGTTGGAACAGGATCTAATAGAACAGTAATCAGTGGTCGAATAGGTACGAAAGTCTGGGTTTGCGTAGTAGGCGATTTTCTGCTTAGCGAGACGCAAAGTAATAAATCATCCAGCACCTTTTCTTCTGTGCATAACACATACCAGATAGTGATGCAATGTGTATTTGCCTTGACATATAGGCAGCGTCCTTAATAGATTCACAATGTTGCCATTTTACAACTGCCATCCGTTCTCTTCCCTTGATCGATAGTAATAAGAACATCGCTTGACGGAGACCGAAGCTCAGTATAAAGTCTCAATACGCATAATTAAAGTACTTGAGTCACTGACCTGAGGATGACCAGGCTAAGCAACGGTGACTGAAGAAGACATTCGTTTAATGTTGACAATAGCTCAATTCTCCGACTGTACGAAGTACAAGTACGCTTTATCGTGCGGTGCAGCAGTAGGCCTCGGAGATACTCCCTCAAAGTACAACACATAAACCCAATCTAATTCCAAAAAGCTCAATTCAGAGCCCTCAACCAGCCAGGCGCGTTACATCCTACCGATTACCTGCGATATAAAATAAGAGAAAATCTTCGTTCTCTCAGTCGCACCCTCCTGGCGCACACGAGGCCTCCATACCGTCGTGATCGTATATGAAGACTCGGGTGTTTGTCTCCACAATAAGTGCCTTGGCTGGGCCAGGAATAACATCGAGCGCCTTCCTGGCTATCGACGAAACGTGTACTGGTCCATGAGCCCCTTTTGCACGTCCGCGTACGGTGTATCCGGCGAGGGTGCGACGAAGATTCTAACGCATCTTGGCGACGCGCAGGACGACGCGTTTGGTGTTTCCACGATGCATCTGTTAGCAGCGGGTGCTAAACTATATCCCTGTTGTGCCGGAAGTTG